TGCAGAGATATCCGTTTCTTCTTTAATAATTTTATTAAAATATTGACATATTTCTGAAATGACAAAACTGTGATATATTTGTTTACTTGTTAATTCATTTTCAGGAATAAATGCGAAAGTATTACCTTGCTTCTCCATAATTTAACTATGGTAAATACAGTGTGGTGCGTTTTGTTCAATAAGTTTTACGGAAACGGTATTTATTTATATAAAATTAGGCAACATTTATTAGCACGAGGAATTTTCATCTATGTGTATATCAGTGATATGTCATATATAGTATATGCACACATATAAAAACTGCATTTTATAGTGGCGCCATCGGTGGGAAAACGTCCAAGTTTGTAGTGAAACTAGTTCCCACCGATTCTGTAAGATGGCGTTAAAGATACATTATAAAAAATTATTCTCTATTTTTCATAAATGCTTAACTATTACTATTTTTTGCTTTATAACACTACAGTATATTAGTTAATACGTCAAATTTATCATTTGTATGAATAGTTATTTGATGTAGTAATAATTATCGACCCTTTAATTAGTGATGGCATCTAATAGCAACAGCGGGAATTATAATTTCTACAAACTTGGGCATTTTACCACCGATGGCGCTACTGGGTATTAAAATCCGCTCACTGATCGGCTAAGTGAGCGATGACATTTCTCTAATTTATCACAAATTTTCGAAGTATAAGAAAACAAAAAACAAATTATATTTTGTCCAGAAACCAATACAATATTACCATGTACATAAATGTCTGGACATAAAAAACCGATTATCACCGATTATTTTGCAGTAATTACTACGACGGAGTACGAAACCTTTTTTCACAATCATGTTTGCATATGATAATGATTAAACCTACACTAGTATGCACTAGTGTGTAATGTGTTAAGCAGATAAAGTGTGGGTGAATTTTATTTGATTACTGTCACTCTCTCGTTCTCTGTTATGAAAGGAAAAGAATAATTAAATCGCGTAATTATTCTCTATCTCTTAATCTTCACTTTCCTCTTTAATCATGACTTACGAAATGAACGGAGGAACTTTAAACGATAAAGTGACAGAGGAACAAGATAATCTCGCGTCAAAAGTAGGTTATTCGCAACTTTTACAAATTCAAAACAACGTTTGTGAGTGTTTGTAATTAAATAAATTTGCAGGAAACATTGACGAAGCGGTTGCAAATGAAATCTGAAGAGTTTACGGCATTACATCGAGAATTGGTTCAATGTAGGTTGCAAAGGGATCAGTTCAAGTTGATGACAGAACAAATGCAAGAAAGATTTGTACAGTTAAAAAGGCAAATAAACAATATACAGGAGTCAAAAGGGTAGGAAGGTGTTTCATTATTATTATAAAACCAAGAGATCAAAATATAATAAAATAAAGTATTGTTCAAGACTGAAAAATTATTTTCCTTTTAATTTTTACTTTTAAATGTACATTTATAGATGTTATAATTTTGAGGACTACTTTAAAACATTAGACCTACTAACAGAGACCCGGGAACAAAATAAATGTCTTAAGCTTCAAGTTGATACGCTAAGACAAAAATTAGGAGATGCTCAAGGAGATGTTAAAGCACTCCGTGCAAATGGTAATAGATCTTATACAGAGTTGCAAAATGCTCGTAGCACACCTGCTGTTCACCAAAGGGAAGAGATGATAGAACAGTTAGAGAAATTGAATGTTAAGGTGACCTTATACAATTTGTAAATAGTAAACTTTATAATCAAACTTGTGCTTACAAAGTAATTGCTTTTGCAGTGTACTCAATTGCAAACAGACTTACAGACAGTTTTAGATGAGAAGCATGAATTAGAAACAGAAAGGGATGCTTTTAAATGTAAAGCACATAGATTAAACCATGAATTATCAAAAGCATTAAGTGCAACGAAACCGGTGGACTTAGATGCTCTTATCAATGAGAATAGGTAAAAAAACAAGATATTTAGCAAAATTGACAAAATTTGTATAAGAATCTATCTTACAATACTAATATTTTAACTTTTTAGATATCTTCAAGAACGGTTGCAACAGTTACTGGAGGAGAAGGAATTAGCAAGACAATCTCTTTCAAAATACAAAGTAACAATACATAATACATACGATGTTCTAGGTATATTACTTAAGGAGTTAGGCCACCTTTTGCAGCAAACAACAATTGCAATTTTTGTTTTAATAAAATGATAGTTTGAACTCGTAAAAATACTTTCTATTTTGGCGCCGCTAAGGTGGCGTAATCCCTTAATTACAATATATTACCGTACCCAGTGACATATCAGTGACATTTTCAGAGTATGCTGGATAGCAAACGGGTAAAAGGAGCCGTGAAACTAGGTGCGAATACCGCGGCTGGTACGATTATGACCCATAAACAAGGTATGTTAATGTGTTTCTCTTGTGTTAAATAAACATTATTCGACCAAGTAAACAAAATATGTTGATTCATTTTTTAGTAGAACAATTGCTACATCACGACTCCCATGTACCACTTCAAAAATCTGCAGCAGCGATGGCTGACTTGCGATGTTTATGTATAGCTCTGCTGGAAGCGTTAAACGATAAAACGCTAGCTCTAGCGCATCAAAAGAAAGCAAACAAGTTAGTAATGCATGCTTTAATTTTGTTCGTGTTTGATTGATACAAATAAAGTATTTAATGACGTACATTACTTACAGAATATTGGCATTGAGAATATGCGAATTAGACAGCGCGGTAGAGTCGCCGACAATGAAATTGTTGGAAGGGTACACAAGCGCAAACGTCGACGCAAGATGTAAGTCAAATTACTCGATGTAATTATATTTTCTCAAGTATGTACTTCTTTATTGTACTTTTATTAGGCGAGACAGACTTTACCGAACTGGTACAGACATCTGACTATACCGCAGATAACGTCGAAGGATGTAGCATCGTGACGTGCAATGCCAATACGGAGGACAATGTTTCTACTTCGGAAAGTCAAGTTGTGCAACAATTACATTCCATACAAATGAGTCTTCCGAAAAATTTGGGAGTTCTAGTCCAGAAAGCAATAAACAACTTAAAGGAGAGCGACAAAGAAAAAATCTAAATTTGCACTTGAAAGTTTCAACCATGTTGAATAATTATTTGTTTTTTTGTATAATTGTTGGTGAACGAATATTTTATTATGCTGTATGGTAACATTTACAATTTAATAATCTAGAAAAAATAATCCCTTGAATATGGAGTGACAGTTTTACAACAAACGCATTTGTAACTAATATTCATGTCACACAAGAGGTTGTATCCCCATAGTAGATGGGTTGACAATAGAACGACCTTACGAGATGTCGTCGTTCTCGTAAATACTTCTCGTGCAAAACCCAATTCAATTGGTTTAACCACCAATCGAATGTAGCGTTTTCTACGAATTTCATGGGATTCATCTTGCCTTTTCGACTAGTATTTAGTATTTTATTCGTTTTTCTGGAAAGTTCAAAACGGTCTCATTCCTCCATCTTAATGTTTGAGTTTAAAACGATGACTTCGGAAATTAATTTAAATGTTACCGTGTCGTTGAAATCGTCCTTTTATTTCGATCAGATTTTGCGTTCTCCTGTTTTTCCGATTCATCGACGTTAGATTGATTAGATTCGGCGATAGCGTTCACTTGTGCAATCGCTTCGAGATACTTTTTTGATAGTTTCTGATCTCGTTGCCGTTTTTGCTGCCGTCTTTTACGCGCTTGTTCCTTATTACAAAAATAGGAACCATCACAAATCTTCAGGAAATTCAATTAGTTACAGCGCGTACCTGCTGAGCAATCTTTCTCCGTTCCATATTTTCCAGACTCGCTATTATCTGTTGCTGTCTTTCGTATTCTTTCTTTTTCAGTATTTGTTTATACTCTATAGTCTTTCTATTTTTCCAAGCTTCGAAAGATATCCTCCTTTCGTTTCGTTGCTCCCTCGACGGTTTGAAATTATCGGGGCAATATACACGGTCTTCTTTAACTGCATCCTTCATCTTGTTTCTTGATTGCTTGGGTTGTTTAAAGGAGTTATTCCAAATTTCAATAATTGTCGTATCATGCTGAACATTATTACAATCGATAACACGATCGACTCCCTGGAATGACATCAGAATTTATAAATTTTTAATGATACGGATAATCGCAATGTTTCATTTTAACCGAATTATTTGACGCAACGTCGATTTGGTTGTCGGCCGAATTGTCCTCGTTTCTGCGAGACAGACTCTGTACACGCCAAATTTCGGAACTTTTTCTATCGGTTTTAGTTTCCGTCTGGTCGACCTGTGTAGAAGATCGACTTCTTTGCCGTTTATATTTGTACCGCCGCGATCTACGATGCGTCACGGTTGCCGATATATTCTGAAAATAAATGATGAAAATCCTAATGTACGAAAGACAACGTAGCTAATATAAGTCGGTACTACATAACACAGACGGACCTGTTCGTTCTCTTCTAGCGGTTTTGTTTCATTTTCATCATGCGTCGTGTCTTTCGATCCGGACAATTTTTTGAAATACCATTCCTCGTAAATCATTCGATGAAACTTGACTACCTGATCTACAGTCGAATGCAAACGTAGATTTTAAAATCGAAAGAGTATAATGTTATCCGTTCCACTAACCGTTATCTTCCAACGCTTCGTTCACCATTTGCTTCACGACATTCTCCAAATTTTGAACCGAAACGCTCTGAGTTTTCATTTTAGAAACATCGAAACCTCAATCGATCGTTTCGTTGGTCAAGGACCAAGCAAACTGGACAATTTGTCTGTACGTTCAGCAAACCAAAGATATCAAGATTTGTGATGTGTGTAGAATGAATGTATTGACGAATGAATTGATGAATAGATGATTCGAGTTGGAACAGTCGACAAACAGGTCGATCGACTGCGACCATGTTTGCGTTGTATTGTTACGTATATAAATAGGTAGGTATACATACTTATCTGCGTATAAGTAACAAAAATTAATTTATTAATATTGTGTATCAATTTTTCTTGAGTACTTCGAGTCGTGGTAAGTCGGGTGCGATTTACTCCAACACGTATACACGTGTATTAATGCTAATTCTGAATATGTATAATATGAAATATAAATAATAATAGTCCTTGGCACAAGTATGTACAAATAATGTAACGAGCGGTCATACGCTGCGATAACACCCTCCAGTATCAAGTATTTTCGCGTTTGACGAGAATACGATGGCAATAAATTCTCATTGGAAAGTAGGGTGTCGAGCGCGTTTCGCGATCACTTTAAATTACTCTTTATCCAATCGGTGTATTCGGTGACTCGCGTATAAACTCCTGGGTATCCAGGCTCTCCGCATTTATTGCCGAAGGAAACGATACCAATCTGGATCCATCGTCCATCAGCCCTGAGCATCAATGGTCCTCCAGAATCACCTTGGCAAGCGTCTTTGCCGCCTTGGCTGTAACCAGCGCACAAAAAGTTGCTCGTTATCGGCTGAAAGTAAGCCGCGTTGCAATCTTCGTTTCTCCACACCGGAAGTACTGCTTGTCGTTGCACGGTACTTTCTTTCCCTCCTATTAAAACACACAGAGATATACGTAGAGTTTATACGTAGAGTTTATACGTAGACTATTTATGCATTCAAATGTTTACAAGTTAATAATTCGCAGCGTTCGTTTTCAGGTTTCTCGTTTCTCGTGGAATCCTCCAGCTAATACTCACACGTACCATAGTAAGTGGTACCCCATCCGACTACAGTGGGCCTGGCTCCAGCGAATCGCTCGTTCCTATACCTCGATTGCGGCATACAAATGGGTATCACGTATGGCGATTTTCGAACAGGCCTGGTCAACTCGAGGACAGCGATATCGTTGTAAAATCCAACACGCGAGAACTTTGGATGGGCGTGTATTTTCTTGACAGCGTACGTTTCCGGTGCGGATGGCTCGTCGTCCCTCTCGAGATCTATGTCCCCTAATCTCACGGTGAATTGCCTCGCTGCGAACCTGCGCAAACGTTGAAAAACCATGCTGTCTGTTTTCGAGCCGATAGTTGGAAGAAATTTATGGAAATTATGCACCGTGTCGACGACCTCGCTGATTTCAACGGCCTTGAACTATGTCGAAAGAGGAAGGTCACCGATGAGGAATCGACGAAGGTATCGATGAAATCTTGCACATTTGTAGACCTATTTAGTTCTCTTTATTAATATTTATTAATTATTTCTCTCCCTGTACTTTTTAGCGAGGCACGCCTAGCGGTATGCAACCCGTTGCACAGGTACACAAGACGATACGCCCTCGAAGGCGCGGTACTTTTTATTCTGAAATTCATCTCTATCGAATAAAATAATTTTCTGAGAACGAATTCGATACTTCCAGGCAGTTGAAATCGGCGAGATCCTCGACACGGTACATAATTACCAAATTTACTTACGAACGAGCAACTTACGGCCGTTGACGCTGATCGCGCGTGCAATGAGCCGCGGTGAGAATGTGTCTTGGACCGATTAGGGAACCCCCGCACCAGAATTCCGTGCGTTTCGAGCCGTGCAGGAATATCGCTGCCATCCAAGGCCAACGTCCTGGCAGTGCTTCCTCGCCGCCAACCACTCGATACTTACCCGAATTTCTCACTCCGCACTCTGAAGAATGTAACACGCCACGCGTTCGTTAATTTCATTCTATTCCATGCCGAATTGAATACATTTTCTGTTTGCTTTTACCTTCGTCGTCCTGAATGAAATTATTGTCGATCGTGGCGATGGTGGGTTCAGTGAACCCGTACGACTCGTTGGACGAGTGATCCGGAACGGATCCAGCGACGCTGGGAGGTCTAATCGTCGTCGTTGACGCAACGGGGAATAGTGGAATAGGTCGAGGTGTCTGTGGCTTCGTTGGACGAATCGTTGGTCTCGGAGAATGTATGCCAGACACGATTCCAGCCGCGGGAATTACGCCAGGTGCGACGCTGAAAATTCACTTGTATCGTAATCGGAATTACAGAAACAAAATAGAAAATTCTTAATTGTCTTGTTTCAATTATAGATGTGGTACACCACGTGATAGTATTTGGCGGTGGTTACCTCGCGACGTCGGGTTTTTCGGACAACGGACAGCACACGCCAGGTACGAATAAACTTTTGAAGCACAACGATTGCCTCAGTTTGGTCAGGTCTAACAAAAGCTGGGGACAATTGCTCAGATCCTGACACTTTCCAGGAGAACCCTCGGCCGTGGTGCAACCAGATGACACCGACGAGGGTTCCTTCTCTCGATCAACGATGACTTCCGTTTGGGATGCAGACGGAGATGGCGAGGAACGATCTGGCGAAGGTGTGGCGACTGGCGTCGTTCTCAGGGGCAGAGTTACACCGCGCACCAACGGCGCTATACTGTCTGTTACATTGCGTCCTGGAAATACCAAAGTATTTTACCGTATTATTTCCTTTATATAAATAAGATTCGAATAAGGTCTCTGCGATTTTGTACCTAGAATATTTTTCGAAATGGTGTATATTGCAGATGGTAATTCCTTCGGAGGATAGTTCGAGTTCTCCACGCCTCTGGTCATGTTGACGATGTAGCTGCCCACCGTGTTCAAAGCGCCTAAAGTCTCGCTGATCGCGACCAACGGGTCTGGCTCCACTCTTTGCTCCACTTTCGCTAGCTTCGCGTAAGGTCGTATTTGCGTGTCTCTGCGAAAGATTCCTGTGGCTGATCTTCGTGGCCCGTTAGCGAACGCAGGCCACGCTTCCGTTTCGGCCGACCATCCTCGAATCGGTGCCACGAAATCTGAAGGGCTCGTCATTCCGTATCTCATTGCTGAAAACGCGCACCACGAACGCACACGTAACGTGTTCGTTACATATACGAGCATATAAATACGTGTTCCGCATCGACAAACATGCCAACACCTTCAGGATCGTTAATTAATCGTGGTAATCAACGTCGACAGGGCAGGGGAATCGATATCGCTGTTTCTTTTTTTGCGTATAAGCTTCAATATGATTTACATTGTTGTATTATTATTATCAGCGATATCAATTCCCGATTCTCTTTCCGATTTGCGACGATTTTTCATGCCAGTACAGCGTTACACTGTACACTGGCAAAGTATCGCAAATGGGAGCTGGCCAATCAGTGCGCATCGATCCAACCGTAATCTAGCAATCGAAAGTCAAAGCGAGGTTACGCACGTGTGTTAGTGTGGATAAGTCTTTTAGAATCCTGTATATAAACGTATCGTATGCCCCTTACTTACGGTAACGATAGCGCATAACATCATCGGTGTAAGACCAGCAACTCGTTAGCAAGCTCCATATCATGTACAGTTCTGTAACATTCGTACGGCGTACCACATATATTGTTTATCTGTTTCGAAAACAATGATGATTAACTCAACGATATACGGCGAGGGCGCATGCATGCTAAGCGTTCAATTCGACTGAGTTTTCATCGCTAAAAAATTATGTACCTGGGCGCGTACCGAACGCACGCTACAAATTAGTGCGAAATAGATCATTTAGTAGCGAGAACGATGCGGGAAAAGCTCGATCGATCGTTCGATTTTACGTCCTCGAGCCAACGACGTCACAATTCCAACCAAACAACAGTCGATGAACACTCTCTTAAACCGTTCGAGGACCATTATGCAATATTACTGAAGAAGGTAGCTTTCGAATCTTCTGGGAAACGATCGATGATGACGTCGTCCGGAAGAACGCGAACTGGAAAGTTTTGCGAATCGCATCATAACGATTGGAAAACGCAACCTTGCGAACGCAATGCACCGCTTCTTGCTCCTATATCGACCTATTAACACGGTTTCCTAAGTTTTACTGTGTAAGCCTGAACAAAATTGATATGAAAAACGTCTTGGAAGCGCACGAGAAGGCAACTCGATTCTTCGTGAAATCGAATTAGAAGTGTAACGGAGCCGCGAGGGAAATTTCTCGCGTTTCACGAATCTACACTTGCCAAGATCGACGATCCACACGCATCGCGACGATGGAATTAGGTTTTATAAGCCAGAATTACGTTCGATATCGATTCAATCCCAATTATACCGCGCTTGACAATCTACGGGTTCCATACCCAATCGCAATGTCCCAATAACAATTGTTGATACGTGACAGTCGTTGTCGTTCGAAAGCAACATACGCAATAACTTTTCTCTTAATGCTTTCAACTCGCCGTATTTATTTATAATCGTCCCGTATAATAGATGCGATTCGCTTTTTCTTCTCTTCCGACTGACATAGACTGTTAGATCGTGACATGTACAATTTTAGAATGACTGGACGTTGTTACAGGTGGTGTTTGAACCTTAAAGAATTTATATATTAAATCTACTAATTTTCTTCTAAATTTTTATACAAAAAGTTACAAAGAGACACATATTTTCAGGCTAAAGCACCACGCTTGGCCCTGAAGAGGAAAACAAAACGTCGGAGCGGGAGGAAAGGCGAGACGAGGAGGGACGTATAAAGTTTGGAATAACGTGGCCCGGCTTCGAAGGAGGCCTTTTCGGAACGAGTTAACGTACACGGACTTCATCGACGGTGAAAGTTGCTCGACGAGAAAGCGCGCCTTTCTTCCGTTCACTGATTCATCGTCGATACTCGCTCGACCGTTCCGCGGACGAGAAAAGAGCTAAAGATTGTTTGTCTTTCGGTGGCTCGACGAACAAGAGGTGCATCCTGATTCAGAAGGAGATAGACGCGATTGTACGCTGGGGAAATCCGATCGTAAACACGCGCGAACGAATTTCTTCGTCAAACATCGCGCGTCAAGGTGGATCTTTGCTTTTCTACGAATTTTAAAAAAGTAACACTGCGATACTTCGAAATATTGTAAATATTGAATTATATCTAAACCTCTTGTTTGGTCAAATTACGTTTCTGTAATCATATCGATTGTTTATTGTTGCACCAACGAACGTTTCTACCGAGTTTAATCAAAATTGGTGTGACAGTTCGCTGTGTTCTTTTATTAGGCAAGCATCCACGTGAGTGCCCGTCAGTTAACCCGCATCGTGCGGGCTCAATGTCGCTTACGGTCCTTCGCAATCCGTCGTATAAAGTAACAAATGTCTCAGCGAAAACAGACGGTGAAAATACTCGTATTAACATTCCTATTACTGTACACGATAAACATTGCGATTTCAATTCACGGAAGTTCCAAGCAACGTGCGGTCGACGTTCGAAATGGATCCGCGCGCAAACGCTTTTCGATTTAAGTTTAACCCTTTGCACTCCACTGCCACAACATAATAAGTATCACTTCACGTTTCGGACAATATCTATGGCGACACAAACTGATCTGACGAAACGAATGAACAAAATCTCAATTATAAGCGTTTTAGTTAGTCGCAACGTTTGTCTTAGTTAAATCTAAAAGCTAGGAGTAATAATTAATACTTGATACAAGAGCAAAAGAACGCATCGATATAGTTTTCTTCGAATCGGCGATGGACCACTTACCGAAGAAAACAATGGACGGCGACATCCTGCTGACAAAGTAAAAAGTCAACTGTTCCTTTTCACAGACATTCCAGGTGCTTCTGCTGTCACCACACCTGGTACCCGCGACGAGACACGCGGCGAACTATTTCAATAGAGTTGTCGCGTCCACGAGAGGACCGGCGAATTGTTCATCGTCTATTGAGGCTCGACAGGGAGATAGAGATAGGGAAAACGGATAGAGGGAGAGAGTAGAAAGGGAGGGCTTGGTGTGCGGGGGCGGGGCGCGAGCAAGAGTGGGAGGCTATACAAAAATTCAAACGAAGGAAGCGTCCGAATCGTGCAATAGTGATTGCACAGGGCAAAACCTCGGTCACGCGATGACTGTCCGTGAAAAGACCTCGACACACTTTGCTTTCGACGGACTTGTTCCCTCACTCTCTCCGCTTTTCGTTTCCTTCTCACCTTTCTTCATCTGACTGGCGCCATCCCGGACTATGCACGACCAAGGGAAAGTGTTCCCTACCATCGGTTATTCTTTTTATTCTACTTCTCGATTACTCGTCACGCAACAACACACTCATACCCACAAGAGCACACTCGGTCGTTCATTCACTGACTAATTTGTCCAATTTACATCTACAACCGATATTATTCTAATAATGGTGAACGCGAAGGGTTTTAGAACAAAACATCCTATTATGCCATAAATTTATTTATGTCGTAATAATCGTCGCTACACTGAAACGTGGTACGTGTGCTTCACGCATGAACGTAGACTTCATCCTCGTTAGATATACAATTCTTATGGGATTCAATATACAAATTTAGTCATATTCTTGCAGAATATGCACGTGTTTCTATGAAGAATCGGTTAAAGGTATACGATACAACTGCGAGTGACTCTATGCGATACCTTAATGTCCTACAAGAATATGTCCATCGATGTAAACGAATGCGCGTTATTATCGTTCGGAATAAGTTGCGGTAACGATTGAACAGAACGCTTCGTATAAATCTAATTCGTTACACCTAAACGAACGTAACGAAGCGATATTCGTTCCGCGTCGAGTGTTCCTCTTTAGGATTTCTAACCACACATGATCGTATCTATTAACAACTGTACAAACATCTATTACAGTTCAACAATACAGGGTATTGTGTGTACCGTGCGTTGTACGCGTTGGATGTATTTTCCTAGCTAGTGCGCATTGGAAAAATCAATAAATACGTGCCCGTTAAACACGCTTTACGGTGGACGTTTAAAAAGTCTTTAGTACCACTTTCAAACTGTGCGCGTAAAATAAAAATCAACAGGACGAAATACCACCGTTTCGATTTGCTCGTACAGTTCGGAAAATGTAACGTTTTCGAAGTGTCCTCGCATCGCCTGTGATACACGCGACGATTAAAAATCTATTCGCCGCGAATAAAAATGGATTCGAAATGCAACGAATAAGAAGGAAACAGGAGATTTCTAGACGTCTTAAGTATAGAACTCTCGTTCGTCGGTAAAAAAATTGTTCGCTTCTCGCAAGATCAAAGAAGTTTTCAACCGTTGTGTGTAAATTATACAACTAAGACTGCGCCTACGATATAAACTGCTGTGGATAGTTAAATTTCATTTATCAAGAATGTGGATAGTAATTCGGTGTGTGTATGTGTGTTTGTGCATACGCACACGTCTTAGAACGTATTTATCGAACTCGTCACTCGTTACAGTAGCCTGTATTGGAACGACAAGATCAATATTTCCTCATGCTTGCCATGGATGATTTGTACGGATCAAAACGATCGTACGACGGCGTTGTTCCGGGTGCCGTTAAACCCATGGACTGAATGGGGCCGCTTTGGTACGTTGGTGGCACTGGATGTCGCAACGTATTTCCCATACTGCTTGAATTACTCCATCTGAAATTGATTTCCTTATTTATTTAAAGTTAAAGCACGCTTCACTTTTTTCTCCCTCAAACATCGAGGTCAGATAATATTAAAACACTCGTCTCCTAGATTGAGGGTAGTGCATTTTTAGGTTATTTTGAATTTGCATGACTTCAGAAAGCTTTTATATTACAGAGAATGTTTTGTTCTCGATGGTGAATGTAGTTTTGCTTGGCCAAGCGTTTACAAACATATCACAAATGAGAGAAAGCTAAGTAATCGCAAAATTAACGACTGTTTATTCATTTCCAATGTGCTAATTTTTTTATCTCTAACAAGCTGAATAGAAAACATTAATTATAGGAAGTTGATGATTCAGATCAGTGTTTCTCAAACTTGAGCGTATTGCTTAAATTTTTCTTTCCAATGTGTAGCAATACCTTGTGTAGTTCGGTTAATGCGTATTAGAAATATATCATGCTATGCAATACCGTTCGCGCGATTATGGAGCTCTTTTACGCGCTTCCAAATAAAGAAATTTAAAAGGATAAAAATGAAAAAAAAAATAGCAGTATCCAAGATTTTTATTATACTAGTAAATAAACAATATACCATACATACGGTAAAGACAAAGAATATTTTCGTTTTATTTCAAACATTTGAACAACGTAGCGTGCACAATGTTTCTTCTTTTTATACGTTGTTTACTACAATACGTTATTTTATACGTTCTATACAACGATAAATATAAAAAAGATTAGAGGCTAAACATGGACCTTGTTAGAATTCGTTTACTACTATTTAACACGTTGACTACGACGTACAAATCTTTGAATATTACGCAGAGGCCACGCACATTCGATGCCGTGTACAATGCTGGGCATGACCCGTCATGGTAGTCAACGTGTTAATAATAAATTAATTATTTCTTATTGAATAGCATTACAAAATCCTCACTAGTTGACTTTCATGTAAAACTATCTTATTCCAAATGAAGAATGTAATAAACATGTATTTCTATTACTTTCAATAGAAATAAAATGAAACTAATATATATATATTACAAGTATAAAATGATGAAAATTACAAAAAAAAAAAAAAAAAATTTTTTTTTTTTTGCTGACGATAGAAAATTTGTTGGAGGGTGCCTAGTAATAATAAAATACTATGGGAAGCATGTTCTTATTCCACTATATAATACGCTTCTTTTTTTCTTCTGAGCTCTTGCGGACCCCTCACCAACACGTTGGCAGACCCCCAGGGGTCCGCGGACTATAGTTTGAGAAATACTGGTCTAGATGATAATATAGAAAATTAACGGCATCGTCAATGGGATGAATAGATAAATGATCTTTTTGTTTATCAGTTTCCGTACTTTTATCTTGCGTCTTTGGTTAGAAAAGTTCGACAAAGAAAAATAGAAAAGACGTGATTACCTACCTGTTTACATTCTCCGAGGACCTGGAACTCCAGCTGGACGGCTCGTTTCGAGGGTCTCGGGTTCCACTACTCGGTACGGAATTAAATGATTTCGCAGACGGTGGTCCAGAATGCCAGCTACTAGTTGTTCTGTTGCTCTCCACGTAGCGACTGTCCCCTACAGTTTTCGAAGATGCCAGAACGTTATACAAACGTAACATGTAAAATTGATCAAGGAAGGTTATGATACATGATGATGTGTTTTCTTTTAATGTAAGAGTGAAATATGTTTGTTGGAATAGGTTCGATTCTAAAAAGAACTATAAGAACCAAACACAAGTTAAGGTATAAATACAAAGAGTGGAAGAAAGGACGAGTGGGATCTAACGTAAACCAAGTTTACTCGTTGCCAGAAAAGTTGAAATTAATGAACAAATACTAACGTGGCGTACTAGAACTTGTAGGTTTGAAGCTTTCGCCATAGCGTGTGTGACTATCCCTGGAACTTCTATGCGTTTCTGGTTCGGAACGTCGAACTTCGCGTTCGCGAGTGTAAGTGGTTGTGCTTGGCCGTTCATACCTGCTGAAAAATTGAACGAGGATCGCTTGATCGAATTCGTTTGCAATTGTACAACGTCGAATTGGTTTATAATTTACCTTTCCTTCACTTGTCGAGGATCAATGGACGATGCCGCGGCGCTGAGAGGTTCTCGTCGAACTATCACTTCCCTTCCACGTGATACCTCGGTAAAACTTTCCGGCCGACTACTTCGCGAGGTGAATTCACTACTGCGTTTAAATTCTTTCTTTATTCCTATATCTTGAGCTGATCTGTAACGTATTAAAAAATATATTAACAAAACGGCAAATGAACCAAAACAGTGTCGGAGAAAATGTAATCGAAGTGACAACTGACCTGCTAGATTCGTAGCGAGTGGGCGGCGATGCGTCCAATCGTCTGTCAGAGACACGGTCCAAAATTTCGCCACGTCGATCGCTCACTCGCTCTGGAGTGTGTCTTCGACTGTGTTCCGTGGTCATGCGTTTTCTGTCCGGTTCCACGTACAAGTCTCTTGGATCCCTTCTGTCACTGGAAGATCGTTTTATAGACGGCGGTGGTGGGGCACGTCTGCTCTCCTCGAGTCGCATCTGTTGTCTTTTCAGCTCCAATCTTTCGCGCTCTAGCTTTTCCCTTTCGAGCTTCTGACGTTCCCGTTCAAGTCGAAGTAACTCTGCCTTCTCCTGTTCAATTCTTTCCCTCTCTCTCCGTAACTTCTCCCGCTCCCTTTCTAAACGTGCAGCTTCTTCCCTTTGTCTGCGTTCTATTTCCCTCTGTCGCTCCATATCTTCACGCCTCCTCCGTTCCTCCTCGCGAAGCATTCTCTCTCTTTCGCGTAATCTTTGCCTCTCTCGTTCTTCCTGAAAATACGTCTGACTTGGTAATCGTTCCCCTTGTTTTCATGGATGGATCATGGAAAAGTCCAGTTTACCCTGATCTTGGCGAATGTGAGTACGTCGTCGCGTCTCCGACGTTCGCGGCTACGGGATCGTGTATGCGATCGGTGGTGATCCCAGGAACGGATTCTCTTCTCGTCGCGCTTTCCTTTCTCGCCCTCTGGCTTTTTGCTGGTAGATTTGGTTGACCGAGTATCGGATTCCTTGGCAGCCTCGTCTTTCTTCTCCATCACCTCTGCTTTCTTGTTCTCGGGGCCCTCGCTCTTCTCGTCCAATTTTTTCACTGTCGCACATTTGTATATATCAATCGTTGTACTTTCCATAGCAATGTTTGTTCAGAGTGCTTGGAGTGACAATTTCATTAAATAATTAAGTTTCGCGCGGAAGAACTGTTAAATAATGACTCACTTGTTTCCGATCCTTTATCTTCGATTTCCTTTTTCTGTTCCTTTTCCTTCCGATCGTTTAGGTCGTGATTATCCTTAGCTTTGTCTTTCTCTTCTTTCTTCTCAGACTTTCCATTCGTAGTGTCTCGTTTGCGCATATGACTCTGCTGAGTGTCACCTTTCGCCTTGAAACGAGAATGGATACCTGAGAGAGGACACGTACGAAGTGACCGCGGGGGTGGGAACGTTATTCTTTTCGTTATACCTACCTTTTCTACGAATATTACACGTCCGTGAAGTTCCGTTCTATGTAAATGCTGTATACATTTCGCTGCATCCTCGCTAGTAGACATGGTAACGTATCCGTAGCATCTTGCACCAGGTGTTCTTGCGTTTGTAACTACTTTGGCACCTATCACTTTTCCGTACTTTGAGAATATTTGTTTCAAGTCGGTCGCACGAGTACCCGAAGACAATCCAGATACCCATAAGTTTCTGCTACTTGCATTAACGGGGCTGACTTGGGAGGTCTTCTTGTCTATGGCAATATAAATTTTCGTTGCACTATAGTACATCGTTTTTTTTTTTCGCGTATTTGTTTGAATAATTGCACTAGTTACCTTTATCGTCTCTTTTCTGACTCTTGTTACTAGACTCCACACTGAAAATAATTATTGTCTTCGTTACATCTACAAATTGTTAAAAAAATTCTTATTACAGAAGGTAATATTTTAAAAACTATGGCTTTTTGAGGCTTAATAAGTACCTCTGTAACTATGTTAAGCATATAAATTTGGCTAGCAACTTGTTCGTTTTCAGTAATCATAATCACAACAATAATAGTAACAATAATAGTAGCAGCAACGGCAGCGGCAGCAGCAGCAGCAGTGGTAGTAATTAATAGTAATAATAATAACATTTAGACACGATTATTTGCATTCCGGCGTTCACTTGTCTGTCGTTGTTACACAATAGGGTTACCAGTTTACTTAAGTTACTATTATGCATGTTTTCACTGTGGTCTGCATCCAGGTTTTCATCACTCGTATAAAAGTATGTCCGTGTGGGAACGTTTTGTATTGCGTATCCCTCTCGACACAAGTTTTCCAGAAAGGGAGCATCCTCTCTTCGCAGTTCTTCCGGGAGGGCACTTCTTGTAAAGTTGGAACGAGTATCGACACATACGCGAGTTATAGAGTAGCGGTATCTTCGACGAACGATAAAATTGCTTCATGTCGCGTTAGGGCTTAAACGCAGTCTGCCGAGTGTATAATTTACCTCGAGATACTAATAATCTTGCTATCATGCTCGATGAGACTGCTGTTTGTTATACAAACGAATGTCTTCGTCAAATAGAGAAGGCAGCGCACAGAACTTTCATGGGTAAATCGTAGATCGTGTGTAACACCTTTGAAAAATGTTCATTTACGAATAGGAGCGGTATATATGACTCGGTTTTGACTTAAGTTTGCTAGCCAATTTCTCGATTTCTTAACATACTTTCCAGAGTTAAGAATTACAGCCTAAACGTACGAGCGGAAAGAAACTTCGTATATGCGATTGAAAAAAATGGAATAAAGTAATCTTGCGTGCGACTTTGACGAATAATTTCATCTTGGGTAATCCATCGTCCGACAGTATTTTTTTTTTTTATCCTGATGGTTTTTGTATGCGGCAGAAGAGAGCATCGCTAGCATAGAGTTGTGTGACATTTCGTTGTCGTACCCACTGTGAACCATTTAGCAATGAGAGACCAACCTCTTGCTTCCGTCTCCACCGTCCTGCTTGTTCTTCGTCCCGACGTTTGCACCTGACGTCGTCCCTTCCTTGCTGTTGGCACCGGCTTCTGCTCTACTGCTCCCTTTAGACTCTCCCTTCTTGTTCTCTTCCAATTTCTTCTTCTCTCCTCCATCTGCAGAGACAATCAAGGTAGCATAGTCACTTTCTGCGAGGCCAGATTTCTTCTCCCTCCCTAACACTCCTGCTTAGTGGCCTGTACTTCCTGCATGGAACGTTTCCGAGCCACTAACAGATTGCGCAGTGAATTATGATGAAGATCGCATGATCGCAAGATCACAAATTCGTTCTTCAATGGCACGTTCCATAGTGACCCTACTTTATTATTTTCTCTCTATTTATGACTGAAAGTTACCTTTTCGTACCTTTTGCACACCAGATTCTGAATCGAGGCCTGAATCAAAAAAACTAGCGGAAGGAGGGACGAAGCTGCCAGTTGGACTGTGGTGCGGTGCAGTGGAGGAAGAGGTAGCGAGAGAAGATGAAGAGTGGGAGAGGGGAATACACATATACGATACTATGTCAACAATTATGAATTATGCCCCGCGCGAGAAAAATTTGTTAAAATGTATGCCCGCTGTTTCAAGTCCATGGTTCACATGGTTCGAAGATATCAATTTCTCCGGTGTGACGAACAACGTCGCATCAATTAACTGTACACGGGGTAGTTTCGTGGCTTGACATACACTTGAGTCTTCTTGTATCCAGATAATTTGGCGGCGGTACGATCCAACGATGCTCTATGCGGTTAGGTAGAATTAATGCAACTGTATATCAAACTCTAGCGTTAACTAACTTATAGACTAGCGCTTATGGGATAAACTTTTTTTTAGAGAACATGGTTGACAACGACACAGCGCAAGGACGACGACGAATGTACGTTTCATTCTGGGGTGAAACCTCGTCGATCGTCGTGCCCATAGTAGTTTGCAGGTAAATCATTGCATGCCATGTCCGTGTGACAAGAGGTTGCATCGCATCCTGTATGCGTACTTGTTCAGACGCACAGAGCTCGAAGAACGGATGGAAGATGAAGCACGACGTACAACTTTGTAGACACATTCGGCACGGTTGTGGTTCTGGATAGATGTGGTGTATCACACGCAGAGGAACGAGTCCCTTGGTCTTGATGTCGCAGATTTAAGTAACTTACTCGTGACCATAAATAAAAGTACTCCTATGTCTATTCCTTGAAACCTTACATCTAAATACACTACGCGATTTAATGCGTCGTAAAACTTACCCTTGTGTCTATCGTGAGACTCTGTCTGTAATATAGCAAAAACATTCCATCAATAACATATAGATCTTGTAAAGCATGTGATCCTCTTTAATAGAGAAATTTCCTTACCTCCTCGGCAAGGAGATTTTCTTCATCTTCTCCGATAGTTAGATTAATCGAATCTTCGTTATCGATGCCATTAGCTTCAAGAGTTGAAGCTGAATTACTTGAGGTTTGACTTGCAGCAACTGCAGCCTCAGGCTCTGCTTTGACCGCCTGTGTGGATTCGGACGCAAGTTTAGTCAAATGAACCTTAGGTTCCTGTTTACAGTCTGTTTCTTTACTAGTGTTATTCTGAACTTCACTTTGGAGTTCCTATAATAATTTGTGTTGATGTATTAAGCCATTTAAATGTAAAGCAGGGTACACCTGTGCATATACTCCACTATTATTTTTTATAAATATTAATGCATTAATGATATCTACCTCTGTTTTAATGGCCATTGTCTCCTTTTCTACAATAGGCTTCTCTACTTTTACTTTTGATTCATTATTATCTGGCCCCTCTGTAGTTTCCTCTTTTTGACTCTCCAATGTTTCAGGTGACTCATCTTGATTCGATGCACCAGTTACTAAAATCAAAAACAAAATAATTACATCATACAGTTACAAACATCCTACAACTCTTAACGAATTACTTAAAGTAACTTACCGCTGTTCTTTCTTGGACTGATCTTGCATACTCCGCCACATGGTATAATCAGATATTCATCTGGATTCTCCCCTTCGTCAGCTATGGACTGTGAATACAAAAATAATAATTCAACTACCATGATTATGATTGAATAGAATTTTTAAGTAAAATTAATGCATTATAAACGTTAGTTTTGGTACTCTGATATAAATGAGTAATTAAACTTCTTCAACATTTAATGCTTGCAATGTAACGAGTATTGTGCCAGCTCTATAAAAATTACTTTCCCTCTATTGTATATGATAACTGTACAGCAATAAACTATCAGTGAAAGATCAATAGGGTTAAAATGGCGACAAAACAGCGAACAGCATTTATTAGTGAAAAGTTCAGAGAGAATATTTAAAGCGATAAGAAAATTTACTTTGGAGAGCCGGTCGAGTAGTGCTGCTTTATTGCCAGTCTTATCGAGCCCGCGCCGCTCAAGTTCTGTTTTTAGATCTATAACTCGGAGTTCGGTCAGCTTTTTTCTTTCGACATCGGCCATTATTCTCATGCAAAAAGTGTCCGACACAAGGCACGCTTATGCTTCGAATTTTACCACTCCCGCACGCACGATATTCCGAATTACTCCGCGTGCATATATTCAAGAAGATCCAAGGATCGCGATACGGAGAAAGGAAAGTTGGAGAACCTCCCAAAATAACGAAGTCAAACACACTACAACGCACTTTGAAACAAACTATTCATCGCCGTCGCCATTCAACGGAAATGACCGGAAGTAATTCCCACACCAAACACACAGAATCGCCAATCCCAAAAATTAAGAATACAATACGTTTGAAAATTACTAGGACTACTTCCGTCTAGACGACTGCTCCCTGGTAGCAGCCAATCACTGAACTATATTAATATTGGTTTTAATACCAGTGGCGCCATTGGTAGGAAAACACTCAAGTTTGTAGTGAAAATAGTTTTTACTACTGCCACCAGATGACACTAATAATTAATGGGATCGATACTTATTCTTGCGTTAAATAACTAATCATCAAAGTGATAAATTTAACATATTAACTGATATATTCTAGTATTATGAATCAATGTATGCTATTAATCATGCATTTATGAAAAATATGGAATAATTAAATAAAATGTATCTGTGGCGCCATATTGCAGAAACAGTAGGAACTATTTTCACTACAAACTTGAGCGTTTTCCTACCGATGACGCCACTTGCTGCATTTAGCCGCTCAGTGAGGGGCTTAGTGAGCGGTGACCGTTTTGGATGCATCTATTCCTTTGTCAGTTTCGTTCAGTTTCGTTATCGTTCGTTATCTTTAGCCGAAGGTGGTGATAATATTGACGCATTCATGTATCCTCCCAGTTGAGAACGTTGTTTAACGAGATACGTCCAAAGATTTAGTAACAATAGTTTTTCAAATTAATTTACCAGTATGCCCGTAAGTATTAGGTTTTATCTAAGTAAAACGATTTCGCGTATCGTTGTTGGGCGTTATCCTAACCTTATCAAGATTGAAACTGTCAAAATTCGCACGTTCAGTATGCGCGAAACTAAGCGAAATGTATTTAAGTACCCTGATAGATTGACAATAACAGCAACGTTTGTATGATTGTCTTTTTATCGCAGGCATATCACTCAAGTTTTGTAGAAAATAATGGAAACGTTGGTAATATGGCGCTTCTGCCTATTAGAACGCATTTCAGAGGTCCTGCGCCTCCTTTTAACAGTAAAGATCCGGATATAATTGACGAAGCATTATACTTTTTTAAAGCAAACGTATTCTTTAGAACGTATGAAATTAAGGTAAGCTGAATTACGTACGTTATTGTTTACGATTATTTTTTGAATCTGTTCAATCACGATGATTTCACAGAGCGAGGCTGATAGAGTTTTAATTTATATTACTCTGTATATAACCGAATGTTTGAAAAGGCTACAGAAGTGTGCAACCCAAGCTTTAGCAACGAACGAAATGTATTCTCTTGCTATATCCAAGTTTGATATACCTGGTGATCCAGGGTTTCCTTTGAACTCTGTATATGCCAAACCCAGCAATCCTGTAGAAGCTGGTAAACTTTTTAAATCTTGAACTTTTAAGTCTGTATGAAGGTTGTTATGCATACATTGTTTTTATAGATACCATGAGACAGTATTTACAACAAATAAGGCAAGAGACTGGCGTCAGGCTCGTAGAGAAAGTATATGGAGAGGACGGAAAACCAAGCAAGTGGTGGTTATGTTTCGCGAAAAAGAAGTTTATGGATAAGTCTTTATCTGGGCCTGGACAATAGTGCATGATTTTTAATTTCATAACCGAATGTACGCGTTGGTTAAATACAGTAATCCATTATTTAAGGAAGAAATGCATTTTAACGTTCCACAAATTATAATAAACTAAAAATCTTTTAATTGCGGAAAATAATTACACACTTCGTGCAATTATATTCGTGTTTTATATGTACATTTGTTTCTATTTGTAAAAAAAATATACGACAGTACAAACAGTTTTTAAGGAAGAGATGTTTATTTCGCACAGGATATACCATAGTATCGATATATGTATCCATATTATATCAATAGAATGATGTATCTTGTTCGGGTGTGAATTCAAATTATAAACATTCAAATAACTTATCGCTTCCTGCGAAGCGATAAAGAGTTTCGTCTTAACCATGCTGCACGACGCGAACCGCCAATTGTCTGTGAGAAACGATGTCCTTTACCCAATCCTCGGGAACTCCTACCGGCTGACGTCTTTCCGCGAAGTTCACGGTGTTTGTGTACGGCGTTGCACACCCAGTTAACCTTTGGATCGTTACGAATTTCCTGAAACGCAACGATCATAAACATTAATACCCAAATGGTTGAAATAACGCTACAGATCTTTTGTCTCATTGCATAATTCAGACATCCAAGGAAGATAAAAAATCATTAGTCTTCAGCAGTATATATAGATTTATCATCATTTTGTACCGATTAATATGATACAAGTGAAGCAAATAATATAAATTACCTTGTGTGCAGGATCAACCAAGATAACTTCATAGTACATATATGTAGAGTCCTGAGCTACCCAATAACTGTTCAATACTCGCAGACCACCGCAACGACGACCAACACGTTCCTTGAAATAGAGAAATTGTTAGTTACTTCAAATTGATTGTGTAAAGAGAAAAATAATCATACTGATTGGACATACAATATACTTACTTCGGCAACAGATTGCAACTTTCTAGTTGGTTTCAGTTGATTAACACCATGGCTTTTTGGTTTTCCATATGTAGCACCTTTAGGAACAGGACGTTTACGTCCACCTCTCCTTACACGGATTCTGAATATGACAAAACCTGCGTATTGAAAAGAAAATTTCCTATCTTTTTCATGTATCAACATTGAAATTGTTCAAGCAGATAGAAGCATAATCAGTGTGTACTCTATGTCACCATTTTGCAGTAAGAGTGGTGCATGGTATCTCATCATATAAATTTCTACAAGTCTATATTATTTTATAAACTGATGGAAGGAAATTCCATTTATATAAAAGATAATTTAATTAACGAGCTTGAATACGTTCACATACAATATTTTGAATCGGTATTACCCGTACCTTGTTTAGCTTTGTAGCCCAAACGGCGAGCTTTGTCTGGTCTGGATGGTCTGGGGGCACGGTGCATTTTGGTCAACTGACGGTACTGCCAGCATCTAATACGAAGTAAGAAGCGGAGCACATCGCTCTGCTTCTTACGGTACAACTCTTGCATATACTTGTATGCACCCATTGCGTAGCCCTGAAAAAAAAAAGAAGGTAACAAATCGGTTAGAATATGCACGTGTGTCCCGCGGCACAAAATAATCGCGAACAACGTTGTGGGAGAAGATTTAATCGAGAGAACAATGAAGCATGACTGAAACAGATTGAAAGATTTACAACCGAAATAAAGTTCACGAAATGTGTACAAACGAGTGAAATGCGTATCGAGGTTAATGAGAACTGAACAATGAAATATTATGTTCCCGTTTGAATAATATTGAAAAATCATAAGAACATTTTGTACGAGCGAGCCTGGTACGGAATCTCCTCTGCACGCGGTCCAGAAAAAACCGTTGATGCTCAGGATATAATGCGATTTCCAACACGTAGCACTCACCCTTCGCGATTGGAACAGAAGGAAAGAGCTTCGCTGTTAACCGCGTCGACGTATCAAGCCATTGCATAGACGCAATAAAGATGATGGACTCGATGTCTGTAAGCGTCGACAAAGGAGACATCTGCGGGCCTGTAACTGCATTAAAGTGCACCTATGGAAACGATTGGAAATTCAATTGTAAATTTTTATCATGTTACAAAAGCGAAATTGCAAAATCGGGCCGAATAGCGGCATGCGGAGTGATACAAAGAATATTTGATCGTTGATATGGTGTTTACGGTACTTAGTAGCGGCATCTAGCGTAAAAATTAGAAACTATTACTATTACCAAAGCTTGGGCGTTTTGCCACCGAGGGCGCTGAGAGATTTGAAAATTGATTCTGTTTGTTTACCGCTAGATGGCTATACCGTCGCGCAAACCAAATTTGAAATATCAAGAGGTACTTAACGAGCTGCATATATTATTATTTTTAATCAGGGAGCGATTGATAATAATTGACCGGTTTGTTACGAAAGTAATATACGAGATCTATTTTTCTTTGCTTTGATATATGAAACGCTTTGAATTTCAATCGACTAAACATGTTCAAAGATAAATATATTTAAAGCATGTGAACACTGAGCGAGATATGTTTGCGATAGCAAACGCTGTAATTTCAACTGCACACGAGTAACACTAATGACTGGAAATGATATCAAATTTACGTCATCCTGTAGTTTTTTTTTTCTTAATTAACATTTAAGTGTCAATTTTGACAACGAAATATAATTTAAAATAATTCAAAATACCTTTCTAAATGATGTACTATCGGGACGTGCGTTAAAAACAAAAGCAATGTATATATAAATATTATATTAATCAAAGTTTTCGCAACTCTATTCAATTTAATAAACAATCAGATTACGTTCCACTGGACACTGTTAAGAAGAGGAGCGTAACGGAATGATCCATGTTTGCATTAGGTTCTTGGAAAATTAAAAAAAAAAAGAAAGAAAAAAAAGAAAATGAGAACAGTTCGCGCGGTTCTACACGTAATATCGAGCGACCCGGTGACCTCTCGTCATGCAATTGATTATTTCAGGTGAGGTAGTCGGAATATGTTGTCAGCAAGGAGGCGTAGTCCGTTATGGAGAGTCGGTCGGACAGCATAAAGGATCCGATTTATTATCCTGCGATGCAGGAGATCGCGGAGGGGTCCGTGACCGCGATCGACAGCGAAACGATCGACAGAAGGAGCAGGAGTTCGGCGGGTAGCCAAGAGCTCGGTTTCGAGGAGAGCAACGCGTTGAAAGTACCACGTAAATTTATCACTAACTGGCGACAGGCCTGCGATCGTACACGCGACAAGACGAAGGATTTGTTGAAGAGATGGCGAACAGTGTCGACCGCCGTCGACGAGATCGTCGATCCGCCGGTTCCCAACAAGCAATTGGAACGTCCCGGTTGGAGCGTGCACGTTTGGAGTAAGCACACGTAAATTCCTCTTTAGAAAGAAAACGTCGGGCACGATACCACCAGACGAGAACCGCTTTAAGTAGAGATCGCGTGCACCGCGTTTCTCTTTCTACGCTCGTACATTCAGGGAAAGATTAAGGGGGATGATAGCTGCCGTTGCGTTCAAGAAAATCTTTGGGAAATTTTTACGAACTCGAATACGTGAATGATGGTCCACTAGAGACGTTCGCGCGGCTTTAATTTTCACGTTGGTTACTGCTGAGATCTAGATCAAGAGAAGCTAAACAGTACGTTCCCAATAAGTATTCAAGTGTAACGGGCAGAGTAAAAGCTCCAGGTAAAAGTGAAATTAATAAGCTTCCGTTGTTACTAGACTGCGGATCTTCATGCATTTATAGGAAATTTGAATGCGCAGGAACCTGCAAAATGTGAACGATATGCAAGAATATAAAAAAGATTGAAAGTAAAGTTCACGTTATAATATTTGCAGAATAAAATAGATTCCTATTTAGGTTCAATTTTTCTAGGCACGTTCGCGAGGATTTTATTTTGCATAAAGATCCGCAGTCTAGTTATTACGTTCAGAGAGGTATTCTATATCTTGAGACTATCCTGTAGAAGTCCTCCAGCTGTAGGTCCGGATGCTTATAGGCCCCTATGCTATAGATCTCGAGGTCCATGCCTTAATCTGACTCTGAGTACAATTTCTCTAACTTGAAGTTGATAAAATCCATAGTTGATCAATTTCATCTCGTTCTTTTCTTTCTCGCTTGGCCTTTGTTTTTTCGTTTTTTTTTTTGCTCTCATCGACACAGCGACCTGGGTGAGTCGATACCCCAGCGACGAGAATCTCGAGGCTATCGAAGAAGATGGGACCGCCATGGGAGGTAGATTGAAGGATCTAGCGCCCATACAACGGGATAAATTCGCTCACTTTTTCACGTACCTGCTGGACCACGACAGAGACGGTTACGTCGACAGGCAAGACTTTCGAATGCTTTCGGAGGTATCTACCAGCCTGTACGCAAAATAAATGGACCGTTTACTTTGAAAGTGGTGCAAGTCCATTTTCTCTTGTACTCGGTTGTCAGAGAAAATTAAAGGTTAACGTATCTGTTAATTAAAAAATTTAGGCAAATTATATGAAGTCTGGCAATGTTTCTACTGTTTTATCGATATGTAATTTGGTTATATAAATTTGTTTTAGGCGTGTTTTGGTAAACCGATGTATACTTACGGGCCGCAAATGGACTTACACCACTTTCAAAATAAACGGTCCAAATGCTTACGCTTATTTCCAAGGTAGAGTTAAATCGATATTTGTCGTTCTGGTTGATTCAATTTTTGACTTGTCGAGCTAAACAGTTACTTGGTAGAACCTTAAGGAACCATGAAACGAATAAAATGAGAAACATTTTTAAAAAGCGACTCAGGAGATTCGCGGATTGGTCTTGGAACGGGCCGGAATACCTGCGATTGCTGGAGGCCGAGGAAGGACTGGCGGAATTGATCCTGGACGAGAGGAAGTACGACGGCGAACAGAGAAAGAGGATCGGTTTGGATGACTGGCTGTGCTGGTGGGCACGTGTCGTCGCACCTGTCGGCGGCGCTTCCTACAACGACGTCCCTTTCTGGCTGAAGATCTTGCCGAAGATATTTTTTCTCGCGATCAACAGCTCGGCGAACGGTGTCATTTCGAAGAGCGAACTCGCCGCGTTCTACGGATCGGTCGTTTGCTTGGAGTCCGACCGGATCTCTAAGTGCTTGGACATTGCTTACAATTCTATGACTTCGGTAAATCGTTCTTGCTGAATTTCGAGTCGTGTTTTTGAATTTATTTATTTATTATGCATATAATTCATCCACGCATACAGTCGTCGATGAAATTGTAGAGTCCGCCTGAAGTGAGTCACTCGAATGAAAAAAACAGGTTTTTCGAGATTTTACCAAAGACTTGCCAAGTCTCCGATAATTTGATCGACGACTGTACAACCAGAACAAACAACTGTCGGCGTATCCGCATAGCTCGAGGACTCATTCTATTGAAAAACATGAATAGAAAGTACAGAAGTCGAGAGCAGTGGAGGTATAAGGAGTACGAGAACGGTTTAAAATGATTTTTTTTTTTTCTTTCTTCAGAACGGAGGTCATCCTCTTGGCTGGGCGCAGTATCAGCTCGTGTACGGTAACTTCCTGTTCGGTCGAGGTCCGTTCGGTCCGGGCGAACATTTCCTCGGCATGACGGATTCCTGCATACTTCGCGGCAACGATGTACCATTCCCCATCGATTATTCTGCGATGAATACGCCCAAGGACAAATTGGAGGTGTACAGTCCGCACTGCAAGACCGCTCGACGCAGCGTCGTAGTTTAAAAAAAAGAAAACGAATGTTTATAGGTACAAGCGACAATCGATAGAAACGACCCGGCGCCAAAATGGATCACCGTCACCCTAATCGTATATTCGCATTCCGTTTCGCGCGTCCACTCGTCGCGTGAAACTCTTCTCAGACCAATTTATTTATAAACACACGTGTATTTTGGCACTTTATTCTATACAAACACGCAAATATATATACGTGCGATTAGAATGTACGAATTATTCCAATCGCATTTTCAATAGAAACGACGGATACGAAGGTTATTGCGAGATTAAATGACCGCTTGGCCTCATCGCGAAAAGGACGCCCGGTTTTTAATTGTCCACGAATACTTATCGATTCATGTTTGTACGTGATTCCGCGCATCGATAACGTCGAGACGCCCGTCGCGACGGAACGACGACGAGTCGATAAATTCACTGTCCGTCGCGAAATTCTTTGGCGAACGGCGAGCAACGAACTTCGAACGATGGAACATTGGTCCTCTAGATGGTTTTCGCATATGCACCCACGACGTACATCTCGATTCCGGATTCGTTCGTGCCTCTTTCGATTTTAAACAGGCCCCTGTCGCCCCATTTTTCACCCCAAGAGTTCGTGACCAACTGGAACAAAAGGTAACGTCGCAATGAATCGGTGGATCCCAAAGAAAACGGAGTTTCTGCTTGATATAAACACCAAACTTTTGTAGGAGTCTAAACGAAAAATAAGGCACGGAGATTCAAACTGATGGATCCATAGTCGACCGATTATACCTACATTACCAATCGTGTACCCTACGATTCGTGTTGTCGTTTGACTTCTTATTCTTGGATATGGGACACGCGGATACTACACTTTTACGTTATACATTTTACGTTATCGAAAATCGGGGCCAATCGAGTAATCTTACCCAGAATTTACGCGATTCTTCGAAAGACGATTCTTCACCCCATCCGATTATCCTCACCGCATGTAACTCAATTTCGTCGTTCTCCAGACTTCGATCGTGTCTATACACTGTACCCGCAACGTAGTTAAACAGATCACGATAGACCATCATGATAGCTGCGAACATTGCAATATTTCTATCGTCAACGCATTTTACGTTAATCAGGCACGGGAAAGTTACCTTGCACGGGGCCCCACGTTAAGATATCGTACATAATGTCGTTCTCGTTACACAAACGATACGTAGGTCCAACTTTGTACAGTTCTGTTCGAAGTGGATTCGGTGGAGGTGCGCAACCAGCTTCCTTCAAGGTGGTATTCCTTTCCAGTTTGCATCTCTCGGCGATCCCATTGCCGCTCGTATACGGATAGCATGCTTCGTCGACCAAGCTGAAAAGGAAATTGTTTCGGGGAAATCTAATTTATTGCATTTTCAATGCGTCCATGTATCAAACTATATTTTCAGGTCTGGTAGGGTTAACTATCCCGAACCGAAGCAAAGAAATTACACAATAATTACCCGAACTTCTTGACAAATTTCCACGCTATTTCCGTTTGTCCTTTTTCGCATCCTTTGTTTTTCATGTTGCACGAGATTAAGTGTTGTGCGCTAAGATCGACCCTCTCGACGCCCTTGCTCATGATAGCGAATCTATCGGATGCTATACTCGCGACACTTCTCACCCAGGATGAGCTACACTTTCCTTGGTCTACGACACCGGAAATGTAACCTGGCCAATGCTTCCTGGCGTCGAATTCCCGTGGCAGTATGTCAGGATCAAAAATACGTCGAATACATTTCATCTGTTTGAACTTTAACGACAGAACGCGTTAAAAGATTCTACGTTTGTGAAATTAATTAATAATTTTCGACGTCAAGTGGCAATTAATTTTGTCATAGGTAGTAACGTTACTAGAGATGGTTTTATACCAGAAGATCCTTACTATTTCCGACGGCTCGTCGCAACCCAAGAAAAACTTGGCTTCTTCGAGCTTTGTGCCCCAAAATATATTGTCAGGATCATCCACGAGGCACCGATCCTTCTCGCAGTACACTGTAGCGTCTCTGCCCATTGGGATGCATTTACTGAAACCGAAGGAACGTTAAAAAACAATAGAACGTCACGACACATGGACATTTCTAGCGTACACCTACATTGGAAAGATAAGAAAGAAATTTACCATTTGTTGCAGTTGTCTTTCAAGGTTTCGTTGATGTTGTAGTACCTCCCCTGGAAGAAGCATCCTGGAACCCCGAACAAATTAGGTTTAGAATAGTCACCTGGGATCGTTGATATTTATCAGAGAATAGACTTTTCCCGATTGCGAAGGTTGGGAAGCCCCTGCGACCTAAAGACCACACGTGGCTTTTGTGTACGAATTAGATGGAGTTTGAATAAGTTGTGCCCCAAAACGTTTGCTCTTTTGAACATTTTGCCAAAGAAGGAAACGAGACAAACAAATCGACAAACCTCAAATTTATTCGAAGCCTAGGGTTTTGCCCATCTCTGTATGTAGCAAACATCGTTTTGTAATTCCAGCTAACCGAATGCCAAAAGTTTCCTCGCCTCTGATTAACTTACTCACTTCTTATTTCTTCAGGAGCCGACGTTGTGGTGACGTTGACTCCTCCGCAGTGACTCCAGAAGTCTGGACAGCAATCGTCGTCGCTACTTCGGTTGCAGAAATCGTCGCAGTAGCATAACGTGTTGTGTATCGGGGCGTTGCACTCGTCCTGACGTCCCGGACAACATCTGCCCGAGGGATACTTGGCAGCGCAGTAAGAACCAGGAAAGTCTCTCACACTCTTCACGACGGACAGCAACAGGACGAAGACGATCGTCGTTAGGCTCTCGCACGATCTCATCTTCGACGATTTCGATTCTGCAACGAATTCGGTTGTCTGTGATCGGAGAACACGTCCTTACCTCTTTTTCGATAATAGTGAAACTACGAAGGTACGAAAATTGTACGAATTCTACGCAGATACCAATTCGTAACATGGAAAATCGTGACATGGATTTTTCGTTGATACGTTTCGGGTCAGACGTTGTAGTCAGACGTTCTATTCCCCTTAATCAGAGGCTGCTCGACAAGGAAGGCTTATTGAAACGTATTTCAGGCAAGGGGTTAAGAGTGAGTTTTCTTCGAAAGTTCATGGGTCTATTCAAGCCATCTCAAAGATCCAGAGATCCAGTTTCAACGAAATGCCCTTGGTATATTAAACGGAAGACTCGTTTCTGTGGAACGAGCACCATCATCGGTACAAAACGTAACGTTACTGGGATTTGGCCTCGATCTGGCACATAAACTCACGAGTAAGACTCATCTGGTAGATTCTTCGTTAGAAGTGACGCTATTAATCGTTTTTCCAATTACTTTATAGTTTATTAGCCTGTCAGAATCCGCTAGATAAGCCTGAACGATGAGTCCAACTACCAGATGCGCGATGAAAACCATTGATAATGTTCTCCGTGCCAAACCTATTAGTGTCATCGTACCGTGCACTTATTACGATATCGAAGTACCGCGAGCGTTACATTCATCTGAACCTCTGACAGAACCTGAACTTCTGTTGGACCCTCGCAAGCAGCTTAGAGCGTCAACGTTGCAAGAAGTTTCGAATCTAGAATGCATATTCGAGACAGGGAAGAACGAACGGGGCACACGCGAGTTTACCGTACTTTCGTTTCACGGAACTATCGCGGCAAACTTTTCAACCGCACTTTCACTTCTGAAAACGTAAACGAACCTTGGTCGAGTTTCGGAATTCGGACGTGGCGCGAATACGTTGTCGGAAACAATGCCGAGGCTCGCGTAGCTCTTTCGAGTTCTCGTTACATTTTATTCAGCCTTCGTCCAGGTGTACTCGATAGATTTGGGATTCAACAGCTGGCATCGTTCGTCGACGACGGTGCCAAAATGCGCGAGCGTTCGACGAGTCATCCTGTCTCGTTTGGTATCGCATCGAAGCGCGTCCCTATCTTCCTCGTTAAATGTCACACGCGCAATTTGCTCGTTGCAAGGTTCGTTCTTCCCCGCGACAAGGTGGAGGAAGTAGACCGTGTTGACCCTGGTACATCTTGTGCAACGTGGTAGCGGCACGAGCTTAATTTGGATTTTTCTGTGTACCGTTCTTTCTTCCGTCTTTGTATAGGTATCGAAGGTAATAGAAACCGTGTTAGAGAGTGATTTAATCTAAATCATAAACAACGAAATTTATAGGATAAATAATAATTGACACTGTGGCGTTGGATATGATTGGACAATAAGAAAATGTGTCAGACTTAGGTTCAACGAGCAGAATTCTCGCAGTATCGTCGATACATCAATCGAGCCTCTACGTGTGGTCGTTATCGAACGTATTATAATATTAATGGAATTTGCTAGACTGGAACGTATCGCATTCGGTTTTTTGACCTCGCAGTCGTCACTTTTCACGCACGGTCGACCGTTCATCTTCGAGATGCGGTAGCAGCTTAGAACGATACAACACATATTCAAACTGTCTATTTACATTCCATACGATTCTCCTAAATTAGAATTTAAATCGCGCCTTAGTTTACGCGACACAGAGTACGAAAGGAAGAGAGACGAACGAGAATCCCAGTCGTCTCGGGCATCCCTCCTCGGTTACTTTGCGCGCATCGTTCGTCAAAGTGTCCCGCGACTCGCTCGAGAATCCGTTTGCTGCGAATCGCGTAACAAATCGTGGAGTTTCTATTATAACTTAGCATACACGTACGAACGAGCGAGCGAAAGACGTTCTTGACCCGTTTCGTTTCATTAGGGATAAAGCGACGACGCCAGCCGCGATACGATTACACGCATCTGCCCACATGTTGGGTAGCTGAAACTGTGCCTTGCGGAAAATAAGACATCCACCTTTCTCGATCGCGAAGACACCCTCGACGATCCTACCAAAGTTTCGGGTTTCGTATACGTATCACCCTTCTGTAATCATTTTATGTACGCATACGTCACGATGAAAGCGTTCGGTGCAGCGCTTGACGTCAGGGATGGAATTACTCAATGAATGTAATAAATGGATAGCTATGCAATATTTTACAACTCTGCCACGATCGAGATGAACGCTTCGACGAACAATTCGCTGGGACGAATCAGAGAGCTCGGTATCCTGATTCGTTACGTCGAAATCGATCCGACAGATGGAAACAAGCGATGGACTTAATACCGCGTCGGTGCTTATCGCCACCGCGAAAGACAGAAATTAACGAGAATATAATTTATCATATCTTGAACGAGCAACGATTATTTTTAGACCGCGATCATCGTACTTGGCGCGTCGCGTGCTACGATCATTCGCTCTTCCTATCTCTATTTTCCATATTAGATCAGCTGTTCCTATATCCCACCTCCTCCTGCTATTTTCTTTAAAATTCTCCTTGTGTAAGCGATCGATCGATAACATTCGAGACATATTTTCCCCATCGAACGTCGTTATTATCAATCCACGAGGCAATTCGAGGAAAAATCCGATACGCCTCTAACGCCGGTATCTATATTTGGATCGCGCGTCATGTATTCCCGCGCGAATACCTTCATAATTCGAACAATTTTTTATTCGACGCAAATTATAGGTCGTCGGAGGAAAAAAGTCGGGCATAATAAACAGCCTGCCATGGCGGTGGACATGACGTCACGCGGGTTCCATCGAATACATCACGAGGTAGAATTCCATTAGATCTGCATCGAGGAAACCCGCGCAATTTCGTGTAACGAACAAACGCGTACGCCTGATGCGAACGACTCTGCCAGCCATGCGTTCGTAAGACGCTTCTGCGAGACGAGATTCCTTTAACGAGCACGATCGACGAACGCGGTGACATAACGCGAGTTATCAAAGTTTGCGTCAACGTTTACGACAGCTGTCTCGTCACTCGAGCTGCGGTAGATTATCCGACGATCGAGGAATACGCAGAAGCAAAACTGTTGAATACTAGGATAACCAACACCTTTAAGAATTACAAATTTACGTATGTAATTTGTACTAATCATCGTCGGTTACCCCTACAATCTTAAGGAGGGAGGTGTTGGATATCGCTTAGGCTGATCCGTACCTTCTGTACCGTACCATCTGTACCGGAATCTTCATTACTCTAGGTTAATCGGTAGTTTTATCTTCATGGGATAAGTAAATATTTTTAAGTTTCAAAAACCTAGTTTTATCCGTCCATACACCGATTACGCATCCGATCCTCGTACCCTTACTCGCTAGCTTCGATTCTCATTGGTCCTTCCCCTCATTTCTACCACCTTCCGAATCCTTGAACACAGACCTTTAAAAGGCACACCAAAACTCCTCTCTCGACCTCTTTCGTAACACAATTTAACAGAAATAGGAACGCGGCGGTAATCTAGTTTCCAAGTACCGAATTGCGGTAGAAACCGAACATCGAAACAAATCGGAATCTAGCAAAACCCGTAACGTTCGATTACAAAAGGTTACGAAAGCGTCGGAAGGTTACCGAATCGCTGAAAACGTGGGATCGACAGGAACGGAAGTAGCCGAGGATCCTGACGCATGCTCTTTATTTGGAATTAGGAAGCAGACTGATGGGATTCGTGTCGCTGATATACCCGAGGGTTTCGGTACCAAAAAAGCAACTCCTATCGACGAGTATCCGATTTAAAATTATCGGCGCCGAAAGTTGATACAAAATACGCGTAAGCATCGCTACTTATAACTTACAATTATAGCGGCGCGTTCGAGATCGGTGGCTGTTTTAAGAAAGACCCGATCGGCGAAAAGAGGTTGGAGAAAGAGGCTGGCGACATCGTATATTTTTAAGCGGGTGTTGAACGGTTCAGGGCCGAGGGGTTCCGTTTATCCGTAAAATGAATGGGCCATCGGATAGACACCCCGTTCGATATTCTGGATGCGCTTATTTTTACAGCACCGCGCGAGAAGTCGAACGAATGCCGGGCAGAATATCGAACCACCTGTTGGTACCGAACCGAATACAAAGTGAAACACCGACTTCGATCGAGCCCGTTAGTTAATTTTAAACTCATCTGTACGCTAAATAATGTTCGCGGGCCCTCGAAAGCGCAGGACGGCGATCAGTCCGAGTCTCATAAAACGTTTGAGAGCCTAGACGTCTTTTTCGCGATTCGCAATAAACATCGCGCGTTTAATATCTCTCGTTTCGCAAACACGCGCCTTCCCCTCCCGTCTTCTCACGTGGAGAGATTCTTTTTCCTCTTCTTTTATTCTGTTTATCGGAGGACCGGAGCGCCGATGCTTGTACGAGATTTTTCAAATTGTTCGCGCGCTAAAAATAAAACAAACGTCATATTAACGCGTACGCGCCCGTCGTCCCAAATTCCGATCGTTCTTCCTGAGTTATGGATGAGATCGCGACTTGTTTATTTATAATTACGCGTGTTTCGACAAGCGAGATCAGCACACCGCGCGAGAATCATCCGTCCGCGTTACCTGTTCTTGGAAATTAATTTTCGTTTACTCGATCTGGCTCGTGACGCGACATTCGAGGTAACGGAATCATCCTTCGATAAACAAGAAACAGAGCGATAATAGCTTTTATGTTGTTTTCATACTTCTTCGTAACTTTCGCGAATATCGCACAATTGCACATTTCATGCTTACTGCGCGCGTTTTATTGCAGACGAGGCAGGATCAGATTTTTTTTTTTTTTTTTTTTTTTTAAGAGAAACATTGAGAGAAACGTAGTTTAAGATCCGACTGACGCGATTTAAGAAAGCTTGGTACGATTTACGAGCCTCGATGACTTTTGAAAGTATCATCGCGATTTTTATGATATCGCGATACGTTGACGAAAAAAATGTTGTATAATTCACGCAGTGAATTTATTTTTATGAAAACGTAAACACGTAAATGTAGCTCACGAAAAATTCATGGATGGAAAGGTTTTACGCAATCGTCGTACAATAACGGCCGCTAACAGATCAAGAGGTAGGGGACGCAGACGTGAAAATAAAATTTCGTGTCCTGTCACGAAATGTTGTAAGATGTTCGTCACAACGTGCCTTGAATTCCTCTAGATATGTTTTCGCGAATCTGGATTAAGGCTAATCGTGTACGGTATAAAAAAAGATCCAGACGTGTAGCGATAACGCCACTGTATGCACAAGATTGGAAGGAGCGTTCTTAGGTAACTTTACGTACATTTACTAAAAATATTTACCAACTGCAAAGGTCAGAGCTAAATACATACACGAAATCAATGGATTCTCTCTCAAGATTTTCCTTCTCAGCTTTGCGTTTGATTGCAATCAGAAGAGTGCATATCCGATACAACGACGTCGCATCTCGACCACTATGTCTTTACGAAACAAGAACCCAAACTTCCGTTCTTACGTTTCTATGGGTATTAACAACTTCTCGTTTACGTGTTTTAAAGTGCATCAATAACAAACCAATCTTATCTCTCATCGGTCTGCAGAACCGCCATATGAAATTTCAAACTGGAACAGATAACGCTGTCAAACAAAGCGTCGCATGCGAACTCTACCCTCGACGAATAATTTTTTCGCGACTGGTACTGCGAAACGAATCATCGTTGTTTAAGCAAAATAAAAAGTACAATCTAGTCTTTCACATTCGACAGCTTCAGCTGAGAGTGCCAAGGTAAGAAGATAAATCCCGCAAAAAGCGAGCGTGTCTTCGATTGTCGATTGGTGGTATTACACAACAAAATTGTACAACAAATCTGCAAACAATAGATAACGGAAGCAGAACAGTCGGGACGACCGAGTATTCCATGGAGCTATAGAAATTATCCTTGACAGTGAATGATGCTTCGTTCCGGAGGGTCGTGTCTCCTAATAAAAATTTCTGGAACCAACTGTTGGAACCAGTTGTTCGCCAACTCTACATTCGTCATAAAGCTGTATTAACGGTCGCTGTGTTGTAGTCCAATTTAAATTCGCATAAAAATGTCACGTGCTGAAATTTGTACGATAAAATAAAGTGATTGGCGAAACACGCACCATGTCGTTTTCAGTTCAAGTTTCGAGCTCATACGTGTGCCATCTGACAACACTTTTCGGTCGTGAAATTGTGAGAAACTCCGCGGTTTATAAAATCGACCATTTCACGTGCAATGATTATCAGAAAGGACCCCGTCCCAATGGGTATCGTGTTGTCTACTTTAAATTTCCGAAAGGGACACCACGAAGTTGTTTATCACTTACTCGTGGTCAGGAGCTGTTATCGAGGCTATCGTGGGTCCAGAGAAGGGGCTAGTTTCTTCGTCGAATATCCGCTACCACCTGCCAAGTAAAAAAGGAAAGACACTCCACGTACTCGAGTACTCTGGAATACGAAGTCACGGTTGGTTCGCGATCGTCAAAGATTAGAAGAGAATCAACCGGTGCTGGCGGCTCGAAAGCACGAGCCTAACTGGTCCGCGACCACGCTAAGTAAACGCGAGGTAAACGCGGGAGTGTCGTATGTGTCCCGCGGTTCATCGTGATTCAGTTCCGTTCGATTCGCGTTTCTTTTCACTCGATTACCTACTTAGCGGATCTCTTTGCCACTTCCGTCGAGATTCGTCATTCCTCGGATATGCAAAGGTCTCCTATCAGACTCGTCATCGACACTGTCGTCGTCGTCATCCTTTTCCACCTCTCATCTCCCGTACGAAATTAGGTCTGATTAGTAACTAATTGTAGTAACTAATTGACAAACCAGTAACCAACTGGTCTGCGTCTGCAACACTAGACATTGCAACTCAGATGTCATTTATATAGGCGTACAACGTTCATCTCCAGACTTTAGAAACCCTAAAATTTAAGGTCTAAATCCTAAATCTGTTCATGGACGCTGGTGTCTCGTTTGAAATCTCTTCTCTTCCGAGTCTCTTCTGTCTATTTTCTTTTCATTTTCGTTTCGTTTTCTTCTCTCTTCGACCGATACATTTTTATCTTATGCATTAACAAAGCTTAGTGCACTGTTCTCTCGTGACCACGCTCTGTAATTTCCCTTAACGCTCTTATCGTTCGGTGATCCGGCCCAAGAGCGTAATAAATGAATGATTTATACGAATATCCACAGATAAGAGTAACCTTGAGTATAAAAATATCGTTTCAAGTCCATAAGACGTCTATACTGTAAAGTTACTACACCATATTCATACTTTCAATTTTATGTGTGTCCTACTTTCAATCGTCTACTCAAAATTAATAGACTAATTATCGGGGACGGAAGAGTCTCGATGATTACGAAATGGAATTTTGAAAGAAAAAAAAAAAACGGGCTCGTCCGGGATTTGAACCCGGGACCTCTCGCACCCTAAGCGAGAATCATACCCCTAGACCAACGAGCCGTATTGAAATTTAGCCTCTAAAATTACAGTCATAAATCTGATCACTTTAATGAGTCACTTTATGATAATACACATTGCTCTATCGATGAGTAATACTCGAACTATCACCTGATGTGGTAATATATATTCGTATAGAATACCATTCACTCGGTGAACGCTATCAGAAATGAAGTTCAATGTTTTTTCTAGATCATGTACTCTGGGATCTTGTACATGAAATTAACGTACACCAATAGAGAAAGAAGACATATTTCTTTTTTTTTTTTAATGTATGTGTACCGTCAAAAAATCATGGAGAGTTCTGTTTTTCAGAAAGATTCTTTAGTAGAACTTATGAATTTTTTACTCGTGAAACCTTCTCGTCATTTACTCGATGTAAAATAAAAGTTGTTTAGCATTAGATATTAACAGCTACGATACGTTATGTTGATTCTGTAAGAAGCTGATTTCATAACGGCGCCGTGGCTTAGTTGGTTAAAGCGCCTGTCTAGTAAACAGGAGATCGAGGGTTCGAATCCCTCCGGGGCCTATGCGGTTTTTTTTTTTTTTTACATTTTTCACATAATTCATTTTATTAATAAAAAAGCGATTGTCACAGTGTTGATCGAATAAAGTGTTATTTTTTGTTAGCGTTTGTACTAACTTAAGATTAAGGACAATTATTTTTCTGGAATATACTATTTATACAGATCCATAAATACCTATGTCGATAAGTGACGCGATAAGAATCGACAACACTTGAAATGCAATCATATTTCATTTCAAAGATACACCTCCGTTATCTGAACGTTTCGCTACTCGAATGCTCCACTATCGGAAGGTCTCATTATCGAAACAAAATACGTCCGGGCTTTGTATCTGTCCCCATTAAAACAATCTATAACATACCGATCGAAATGAATTCCGATTCCAACGATCTGTAACGAAAGTAATAATGTTTCATTGCTTCGGCACTTTTTCAGATCCTCGTCGGAATATTGGGCGCGAAAATAAAAACCGAAGGTCCTTCGAAACGGCTGTTTACGTATTTAATTCTCGAGACTATACCCAGTATCATTAGAGACCAGACATTCTTTGTAGAGCAATTACGAAACCGTTACAAAATCCTTCTGTTTGTCGATCGCGAAGGAATTCTACTTTTTAAAAAAGTCTGATTTTTGCTGTACGATTTAATTCGTTTACGTTTACGTACAACGTGTTTGCGTGATCGATACGGTACTCTATGGTAACGAAGCGTTCGAGAAAACGTCTTGTCCAACGATAAGACTTCGAATCGCTACGATTGCATTTTGTTCGTCGCTAAAGGTATCGTCAGCACGTAAAAAACATGGGGAATACGGAGAGCAACGTAGCCAGTGGAGTGAAAAAGCAGACGGACTCTGGGTCCATCATGATGTACAAATTGGTCGACTTGAAAGGTAAACATGAGTAAAAAATTCATAAATTCTACTAGAGAATCTTTCTGAAAAACAGAACTCTTCGTGATTTTTCGACGATACACGTACATTAAAAAAAAAAAAAGAAGTACGTCTTCTTCCTCTATTGGTGTACGATAATTTTATTAATATGCGAAGAGATGCCTTTACACGATATCAAAGAATCGTTTGATGCTGTCGAACAGGTGGTGGTTTATTGGTAGACATGATGAAGAGGGCAACGCAAACGAAACAATACGCCGAATTGGATCACGCTCTGAGAACAAAAGTGGAGCCTTATTTGTACAATAAAGGCAGAGGTAAATGGATTCCAGTGGAGAAGCTTGTTTTGCTGCGAAACAAAGATCGACCGAAGCACAAAATGGTAATCAGAGTATTGTCGGATATCCAGGAACGTTACTTTTTATTTCACCGTTGATCGCGTTGCAGCTACCTCCGTTAAAGGCTATGGAGAATCCGTCCGATTACGACATAGACAAGGACATGGGCGACGAGGAAGTCGACGAGATGACTATAGGTAAGAAAAACAATAGCGATATCGTCGAGCAGCGACGGACGACATTTTATTCGAATGACGGACGGGTACAATTAACGTTTAACAATTTGTTCGAGTATTCGATTCACCTAAGTTTCGTACGTTTTATCCTAGATAAGAGCAAGCACAGATTGGTCTGTTGGAGCTTGAGTCAAAGAGGCGCGGTCGGTGAAACGACTTTACATATGTGCATGTTACACGCGACTGCTATTCACATCGATTTGGCAAAACGTTTGTTGCGCTTCTATCCGAACCTCATCAACGACGTGTACATCAGCGACGAATACTACGGTGAGTAATAACCAAGCTCTGCTCTGCTCGTTCTCGAGCAAACCTTGTACTATCTCTTACCTCCTCTGTCTGTCGTTCGACAGGCGAAAACGCGTTGCACATAGCGATAGTAAACGAAGATCCGTCATTGGTAAAATTCTTGCTCGACAGCGGCGCGGACGTTCACGAACGATGCGTGGGCAACTTTATGTGTCCGGAAGATCAGAAGGCGTCGAGAGCCGACAGCGTGGATCACGAGTGGGTGTGCGTGGCTCCAGAAACGAATTACGATGGGTAACGCAACCCTTTCTCGCTTCTATCAGCAACTTAGGGCACAAGACTATTTGAAGGAATGTCAGATTTTGTTTCCTTCGTTGACGTAGTACCTTCGTTCGCGTAGGTACGTTTATTGGGGCGAGTATCCTTTGAGTTTCGCGGCGTGTTTGGGCCAGGAGGAATGTTACAGACTGGTGCTCGCGAGAGGCGCAGATCCTGACAAGCAAGACACGAACGGCAATACCGTTTTGCACATGTTGGTGATCTACGAAAAGCTGGTAAGTATATGTTTGTAGCTAGCAGACGAACTCGTATCGAAACGAATGATGAGTTCCCTTCGCAATGGAAGGCTACGTTCGACATGGCGTACGAAGTGGGTGCGTCGCTGTCGCTCAGGAATGCTCAACACCTGACGCCTTTGACGTTGTCGGCGAAATTAGCCAGAATCGAAATGTTCTTTCACATTCTGAACATCGAGAGGGAAATTTACTGGCAGATCGGGAGCATCACTTGCGCGGCTTATCCTCTGTCGCAGGTCGACACTATCGATGTCACCACTGGAAACATCAGTCACAATTCTGCCTTGAATCTGGTGGTGTTTGGAGTAAGTGGAAGACTACAGGTTCGCGGTATCTATTAGAGCTGAAACCAGTGATACTGAACATAGTGATTTTTTAGGAAAAGGACGAACACTTGGAGCTGATGGACGGCATACTGATCGACCTTTTGAATGCGAAATGGAACACCTTTGTAAAATCCCGATTCTATCGTCAATTCTTTCTCTTCTGTTTCTACTTCCTTCTATCGTTGATCAGCTTCACCCTTCGTCCAGGACCTTCGCTGACAACGAGCACACCTGCAGCCACCGACGCGTCTATCGAATCATCGACAGCCATACGACCGGATCTCCTATCCAACGCTACCCTAATCACCAGTCGAGTCTCGAAAAATTACCTAAACTCCAACCTCTCCGAGCTGGTAGAGAGAATCGTGACCACTAGCTTCATTACGAACCTTAAATCCTCCTTGAACGTGACGCCGGGCTTCTTCGAGAAGCTCAAGCTCGACATTCTGGCAGATGTAACGTTCGCGTTGAAGAACGTTTCGCTGATGGAGGGAAACGAGAACGAACTTGTTAACAACTCCTACGAAACGACTCCTGGTGCGAACGAGCACGTGCACCAACGGAAAAATGATACGGCCACGGATTATCTTAAAGCCACGATCAACGGCAGTCTTCTCGCCGCGACGAACCTGATGCGCGATGGCGTCACGTTGTCTGGTAGCAGCCGCAGGAACAACTGGTACATTGCGTCACGTTGAAACAGATTAAGACGAACTCTAAGTTTCTCTTCTGAGATCACGTGTGGCCTTGAACTTAAATTACATCAAGTTTCAATTAGATGAATCCATAGTATCCATAGAAAAAAATGTGACGCTTGTTGCAATCCTGTAATACAGAGAAAAAAAAACTATCGAGACCCCAGAAGTCGATCTAGGATCGAATTGAAATCGAAATCTTTAAAAAAAACGTCTCTTGCGTAAATTGCAACAGGCAGAGATCTTCGGAAGAAATATGCCAAGTGTTAATTCCTCGCTGAATTTGCATTCCTAATTCGGCTTTAAACGCCTCGTTAAATCCGCGCACTGTAACGAATACGCTGACGAAGCTATTTTCTCGATACCAGGTGGAGCAACCTCACCGAAGAATGCAGACTGATGCAGCTGACAACGTTCTCGGGAAAAATTCGACTAATCGCGGAAATCATGATGGAAGTCGCGGCCATACTTTACATTATCGCGGCGCTACGAGAGGCGAGGTTCCTCGGTCTCAATATGTTTATCGAAAATTTGGTACGGTGATAATTAGACTGCGGATTTTTATGCATTTATAGGAAACTTGAATGTATGAGAAACTACAAAATACACGCAGGATGTAATAATATAAAAGGCTGTTAGAAATAACGTTCTTATCGTAATACTTTCGGAGTGAAACAACCTTCTATTTAGATTCAATTTTTGTAGGTACGTTTACAAAGATTTTACTTTGCGTCAAGATCCGCAGCCTAGTGATAATACGTAGGTTGAAAAGTATCTGCGATGACGTCCACCCGTTCTTAAAAATGCATACATTTGAACGGTGGACTACAGGTGTCGCGAGATCCTTCAAGTAACATTTTCGAAAGGAGATGCTTAAAAAAGATTAAATTCATGCTTACAAGGCTAACGCTTAAAATTCAGACGTTTGCTTTGCGTAATTTCTAGGAAACAAATCTCTTTAAATCATCAGCGAATCGTAACTTTCCGAGATTGTTTTCGATTGCTGTAAGATCAAGTTTGTTTAGTCGTTGTGTTCATTCATGATCTGTAGTCTGTGTACATTCCTTGATGCTTTATCTTTGAGGAACTTGTCTACGAGTGATATTTTATCATTATAGACCGACGAAACTAATCCTATGTTTACTAGACACGTGTACGTACGAAACGTCCGCAATATTTCATTCCTGTATTTTCATTCGTCTAATGATTTAACAAAGTTTCTGAAGCGAAGAGTCTCTGGCACGAATCCAGGATACGGATCACCTAAGCACTTCGTCTGAAACATGGCTGCCGCTGTCTTCATCATTCATTCTTGGAAATCGTCGGAAATCTCTGGTCTGCAGAGTTTTGTTGTTTCATTCTTGAAAATTGCCTGCCAGTGTCATTAAAGGAACGTTGTTACGTTAGTATGATCGATACAAATCTCGACGCTAACGAGAGGAATTGTTTCCAGATGACTGCACCATCGCGAGTTATGTTCCTCTTCTCCTGTTGTATATTATTGTCCTTTCCGTTCCTGCGGCTGTCTTGCGCGGACGAAGTCGAGGACATGCTGGCGGTCGTCGTGATGTTAACCACTGCGCCCTACTTCCTGTTCTTCTGTAGAGGCTTCAAGACGGTCGGTCCTTTCGTCGTTATGATCTACAGAATGATCATGGGAGATTTGATCCGATTTGTTTCCATCTATTCGGTGTTCGTGATGGGATTTTCTCAGGGTAAGGAGTCACCCTTTAATCCGTGGTTCCGTTTTCCCATCGCTTCCTTAGCCCTGGAACTTTTGGCACACTAATTGTCTGTTTTGTCATACATCAGAAGCGACATCGACACGGATTATTGCACCGAGAGCTCTTCCATCGTAAAACGGTCGAGACGCTACGCCAAGATTTTACCGTGTTAACCGTTCCGCGTAATTACGCAATTTTACTTTAATAAGCCCCGTCGTGTCATTCGAATGTTACTTTTCTTTTTTTAACTACCGTCTGTGAAAATAAACGAACGTTGCATGATTTATTTATCTTTCAGCGTACTACATCATATTTTTATCATTCGACAATCCCAATACACCGGAAGGGGTTGACGATTCGATAAGCAATCCAATGCCATCGCCGATGGAGAGCGTGATGGCTATGTTCCTGATGAGCATGACGAACTTCGGAGATTACTATGGAGCGTTCGAGAGAACGGAACACGAGATGGAAGCCAAGGTATGTAATGTAGGAGTCTAAACGAAAAATAAGGCACGGGGATTCGAATCCACGATCATCGGATCCACAGTCGACCGCTTTACCTACGCGACCAATCCCGTACCCTACGTTTCGTGTTCATATTTGACTCCTTATTGTTGGGTATGGGAGGCGCGGACACTACAGTAATTTATCTTAAGCTTTTTATGTACCGATCGATCGATTCTGTCGTAGCTCCTGTTTGTACTGTACATGGCGATCGTTGCGATTTTGCTCGTAAACATGTTGATCGCCATGATGGGGAACACGTATCAGAAGATTGCTGAGACTAGGAACGAATGGCAGAGACAGGTACACTTTGCTTTATCGTTTCCTATGTGCTAACGTTGATAATCGAGCTTAACTTAATTTTTATTAAGTTATGCGTTGCAGTGGGCGCGCATAGTGTTGGTGGTGGAAAGAGGGGTAAGTCCGAAGGAAAGGCTGAAGAAGTTGATGGATTATTCGCAGCCGATGTCTGACGGTCGCAGAGCTTTGGTGCTTCGATTGAATCAGTCGGTAAATAACACCCACTTCTCGCCTTAAAATTATTCAGACGTGGAATAATTAAACGTAACACCTGTTCTAGGAAGAGGATAAGGAAGAAATGAAGGAAATTTTAGAAATGAAGAGAACGCACGATAAATTGTACAAGAAAAGGCAGGCTAAAATGGCGAAGGAAAAGGGCATTATACTAGATGACAATGTTATTCTGTAACGATTTTCTCTTGTTAAACATTTCTTTGCTTCGGTGATAAAAATATAAAGCAAGATAATTCAAATATTTTGTATTTTATCGAGTGCCTATTACGTACATGTCTGTTGGGGCACATTAATTAAGTAAATTGTCTTTGTTCGAAATTATTTTATCCAGATGCCCTTCGTCGTTGCAACGTGACTCGTAAAATAAAAAATAGTACCGACGTAACGCAATAACGATACCTAATGTGGTTACTATAGTAACCGTTACAGCTAGCAACGGATACTCGATGTCTCGCGAGCTTGCACGTTACTTTAAGTTCGAGACGCTTTGTGAGTCTTTCTAGAAAATTTGAACAGCAATGAGCAAATTGACATCGCCGATCGATTACAAAAAATTGGAACTAGAGCTTGTAGAAGCCCTTAAAGCCGACGAGTTGTATAAACTACAAAACGACGCGAAACTCAGAGCTGTGGAGCAGAATGTTCCCACGTACGAGGACTTTAGGCAAATGGTATCGTTACGATGCGTTTACTCAGTGCTCTCTATAGATTCTTTGTCTTAAGCAAAATTCACTTTATTCATTTTCAGGTGAACGCTGCGCATTTGAAACCCTTGCAACGCGACGATGTCGAATCCAAAGTAAAGACGTCGTGGAATCCCGTCGCTATTAACAAGAACTCGAACACTATAATGGTTCTCGACGAGTTAAAAGACAAACGGTCCGACGAGGACAGGAGCAACGATGTCTTGGAAAACGAATTGCCTGTCACGTACGAACAATTTATTCGCTCTTGGAAAATAATCAAAGGATACGAGGCTAAATTTAATTATCTCAGACATTTAAGGTATGACGTATGCTAATTTTAAGCCTTTCATGGATGTTTCTAATCGAATTTGAATAATCGCCTTCTACTCGATCGATGTTGCAGAGACACTTTACGGGAAAAAGTTTTTTCCATTGAAATCCCTTCGACGTTGTTCGCTGAGCTAATAAATGTTTGCCTCCATCGAACCGTTACGATTACGAGCGATATCGAATGCGTCGTTGAAATCCTAACTGTTTTAAGCGAATGTAACCGATTCTGCTTGACAGCCTGTTTTATGGGAGAAAACGAGAGAGCAACGTGTACACGGTTATTCCGTGAGTTGCTTGCCAGAGGAAAAGACGTGCTCCTCAAAAACACGATCAAATCTTTAGGGTTAATTTACGGCATTGTACTTGAATAGCGAAACTGTTCGCGAACAAAAATAAATTGTAAGAATAATCAATCCCAACGATAAGGTAACAGCGTAAACCTCCGTACCGGCCACAGATATCTGTGTTACCAACCGATATCGTGAAAATCACGTGATCGTTGAATGCGCAATATGGCCGCGTATACCGTAACATCAGTTCGAAGTATAGTGACTGTAGTCGATTAATGTTTAGTTCGAAGATCAGTCGAAATTTCCAAGTCTATTCTTCTTCAAAAACGAAATGACTCGAAGGCTTGGTACCGAATTTACTTGTTATCGTCGTCCTAGAGATATCTCTCGATGCTTACACGTACGTACGTGGAATGATCCAATGTTGTACGTGTGTGCATATATCCGTGCGTCCGCGCGCATTCGGTAAACAAACAGAACCGTTGAACCGTCCGATAGAATTGACTATTTATAGTGTTCCTTGATATTTCGTCAGCGACAAATAAGAAATTTTATGCGGAATACCGACGGTCAGAAATCGCGTTATTATCTAATTCAGAACAATCCGATAAAGTATACGCATGCAACGTATGTGTGGACCTATATGCATAGAGCACATTCAGCTGGTGTAACGTTTTGTTATCACGTGACGCGAATATTATATATCGTAATGAGCAAAGGAGAAATATGTACAACAATTATCAGTTCTGTCGTTGAAAGGAATATACATACACGTCGCACAATTATTTAGGATCCTATCGAAATTAGAATAACAGCAGTGTATCCGTGATAAACAGTAAACAGAATTCATCGAGTGACTCATCGAGAATATGCGGTTAGAAGAAATGCCATTGCGTTTGAGCTCGGACGAGCGGGATTTTGAAATGGACGAGGAAACTGACCATCTTCTTCAACCCTCCGAAGACAGTATACGACTCCTAACATCGAGAAGACGACGAATCAACGATTGTTCCATATTTTTCAGGAATTTTCTTTGCGGGTAAGTTTATTTCGACTAAACACTTACGGTCGCGTAAATGAGGAAAAAGCACGAGTAATATTTGTTTAATAATTTACGATAAACTAATTACATAGATGCATTTCGATGAAATTTATATCGAATAATGTTGCGCAATCTCAATTTTTACTAAATTACTATAAAGTAAAATCTGAATTTAACGGATTTCAGATTTAACACCTCCCCCTCCCTCGCTGTTACTTCGCTAAATACCATAGTAGATTTAAAACTATTATCTCCTTTAATTATAGTTGTTAGAATCGGTTGTTTTTCGTGATAACTTTCCGCGAATGCATAAAGTATTGTATTGCAAGAGGAGACAGAATTCGATTCGCTGTTGCAAGTAGGTGAACTCGTCTTCTTGTAAGCGCGTGCTTCGTGGTTATGATGTCACAACAGTGTCGTGTCGAACGTCGAAAGTTAATTGTGTGACTACTTTTCTCAACGAAAGAATAAATAATACTGTTTTCTTATATGGTTTTTAACGAAGAAATATCTAAATGGAGACGCAGAGCAATGTTATAAGGCTATCGAAAGAAGATATCCCGTTAATATCTAAGCCGCGAAATGACAAGTTGTGGACAAGGTGACGTACATTTTGCTGTGGCCAAAAGCTTCGATTTTCCTGCAGTTTCCATTCTCCCAAAAGCATTAATTAGCTATTGCCGACGATTTCTACGGTATTTAGCTCGTATTTGATAATATTATGCAGATAGTATCACTCGATTCGTCGTAGCTCTATTCCATCATAAATACGTACATACGTGTGTCACACACTACTATCGTTACGCACAAATATTCGATACCTTCCGTTTTCCATAATTTTTCATTTGTACTATTAGATTATAGCTAATTCAACGATCATGTCGTTAATATAGTAAAATAAAAATAACATAAAATTGAACGATAGACTAATATTCTTCCTCTTTTGCCATCCCATTTATTTGTTATTTTTTATTCATAGGTGTTGTACTTGGATGTGGAGGAGATGTTGCAGAAAACGCGAATTAAGAGCAAGAGTTATTCACATTGGTCAACCGATGCAAGAGAAATTTCCTACCAATGTGATAAGAAATCAGAAGTATAATGTTGTCACATTTTTACCCCTGGTGAGACTTGACACTAAGCATAGAAAAATAATTGTAGCATAAAATAAGAAAAGTAATGTTTATTTCCCTGTTCCTTAGGTTCTTTTCCAACAATTCAAATTTTTCTTGAATTTGTATTTTTTAATTATGGCTATATCTCAGTTCATACCAGACATACGAATAGGATATTTATATACATACTGGGGACCATTATGCTTTGTGTTGACCGTTACAATTTGTCGAGAGGCTATTGACGATTTTAGACGATACAAAAGAGACAAGGAAGTTAATGCCCAAAAGTATTACAGACTAGTTAAAGGGTTTGATACACCAGAACTCGTACCAAGCTCTAAATTACGAGTAGGCGATTTGGTAATTGTGGAGAAAGGTCAAAGAGTACCAGCCGATTTGGTTTTATTGCGTACAACGGAAAAATCGGGAGCATGTTTTGTAAGAACCGATCAATTAGATGGAGAAACAGATTGGAAGCTACGATTGGCTGTGCCAGCTACTCAAAAATTGGATAATGATTCTCAATTGTTCGACATAAAAGCGAGTCTATACGTTGAAAAACCACAGAAAGATATACACAGCTTCATTGGTACATTCACGAGATACGATGGATACAGTAGCGAAGAAAGTTTAGGCGTGGATAACACATTATGGGCAAATACAGCTGTTGCATCAGGTTCAGCTCTTGGTATTGTTGTGTATACAGGACAGGAAACCAGATCTCTCATGAATCATTCTGCTCCACGGTCAAAAGTTGGCTTATTAGATCAAGAGATAAATCAATTAACAAAGGTCTTATTTTGTGCTGTACTCGGCCTTGCGTTGGTAATGATGTCCTTGAAAGGTTTTAATGGGCCGTGGTATCGTTACATGTTTCGTTTCGTTCTATTATTTTCGTATATAATTCCGATCAGTTTAAGAGTAAATTTGGACATGGGAAAAGCTTTTTATGCGTGGTGCATACAGCGAGACAAAGATATCGCTGGAACGGTCGTAAGAACGACTACTATTCCGGAAGAACTTGGCCGCATCTCGTATTTATTAAGCGACAAGACTGGTACTTTAACTCAAAATAAAATGGTTTTCAAAAAGTTACACTTGGGTATGATATCTTACGGGCAAGAAACATTTGACGATGTTGTGAACGTGTTAAAAACATGTTACTCTGTAAACTCTAAAACTTCACCGGCTAAACCACCTGCATCCTTACACAGTGGGAAAGTAAGAAGATCGGAAAGCACTAGAATATACGACGCAGTGCATGCTTTGGCGTTATGTCATAATGTAACACCTGTTTATGATGAGGTAAATAAATCCTCCAACTTGGACACAGTCAGCATACAAACTGGAGAAACAGAAGATTCGGGTTCCATTCAAAGGTAACTTTCAATTATAATAAAATGCTTAAGGTTACCCGATCGACGAAGAACGTTTTATTTAAACACAGACGTGAATCAATATTTATGCACGTGTGTTTGCTTACTTTTACTTTAGCCAAACGGAAGCGGATCAGCAGTACTACTTGCCAGATCAAAAACGCAATTACCAAGCTTCTAGTCCGGACGAAGTAGCATTGGTTAAATGGACGGAGGAAATGGGATTAGCTTTAGTCAAGCGCGACTTGAATATTATGCAGCTGAAAGCTCCGAGTGGCAAAATTTTAAATTACGCAATTCTACAAATATTTCCGTTTACATCAGAGACCAAGAGAATGGGAATAATAGTGAAAGAGGAATCTAGTTCAGAAATAGTATTTTATCTGAAAGGCGCTGACGTGGTAATGTCCGGAATAGTACAATACAACGATTGGTTGGAAGAAGTATGCGGTAATATGGCTCGAGAAGGTTTACGAACGCTAGTTGTCGCGAAAAAAAATCTGACAGAGGAACAGTATCTCGACTTTGAAGCAAGGTACATCCTGCTTTAGTATACATTATGCAGCGGTACAATTAAAAATGATTTATTACTTGAGAAATAATTTTCTTTTAGATATAATGCAGCGAGAATGAGCGTTAGCGATCGTGTTTCAAGAGTTACCGCTGTTGTCGAAAGTTTAGAAAGGGAGATGGAGTTACTCTGCGTAACAGGTGTTGAAGATAGATTACAAGATAGAGTGAGACCAACATTGGAAGTACTGAGGAATGCTGGAATTAAAGTAAGTCGTTGTACGAAATGCGATCGTCTTTTCCTCATGCTGACGGGTCTAACTTTTTATGAATTTCAGATTTGGATGCTAACAGGAGATAAATTAGAAACGGCAACTTGTATAGCGAAATCTTCGCGTTTGGTTTCACGATCGCAGAGCCTTCACGTTTTCAAATCTGTGGTGACACGCACGGATGCTCATTTGGAATTGAATACATTTCGTAAAAAGCAAGACTGTGCCTTAGTTATCAGTGGGGATTCCTTAGAGGTGTGTTTGCAATACTATGAACAGGAATTCTTGGAGTTGGCGTGCGGCTCGCCTGCCGTTGTTTGTTGTCGATGTTCCCCTACACAAAAAGCCGAAGTTGTCAGTCTTATCCAAAGACACACAGGTAAAAGAACCGCGGCTGTTGGAGACGGTGGCAACGATGTTTCGATGATACAAGCAGCGGACGCTGGTAAATATTGTCTTGATGGTTTTTTTATTAGAATAAAATTACACTCATTAAATTATCCACTGTATTCTAGGCATAGGTCTTGAAGGACTTGAAGGGCGACAGGCCTCATTGGCTGCAGATTTCTCCATCTCTCAGTTTAGCCATTTGGCTAATCTGTTGTTGGTTCATGGACGAAGAAGTTACAAACGTTCTGCTGCTTTAAGTCAATTTGTTATTCATCGTGGTTTAATTATTTCAACTATGCAAGCTGTGTTTTCGGCAGTTTTTTATTTATCATCGGTATCCTTGTATCAGGGATTCTTAATGGTGGGGTAAGGAAAAATTAGATAGTCTCAAACCAGTTCCTCAAATTAATAAAATATCGAGATTAACAATAATTATTGTCATTACTATTTTGCAGATATGGAACAATATATACAATGTTCCCAGTGTTTTCTTTGGTATTGGACAAAGACGTATCTGGGAAAATTGCGCTAACTTATCCGGAGCTTTATAAAGAACTCAGTAAAGGCCGGTCGTTGTCTTATAAGACATTTTTCATGTGGATTTTAATAAGTATATACCAAGGTAAATACTTTCAATATATTTGCATTGATCATATATGTTGTATGTATACAATAAGTAATTCCAGGTGGAGTTATAATGTATGGTGCGCTGATAATGTTTGAAGATGAATTCATTCATATAGTAGCCATCAGTTTCACAGCGCTTGTTCTGACGGAATTAATTATGGTAGCTTTAACGATCAGGACATGGCATCACATTATGATATTAGCAGAGATTTTCTCCTTAGCCTTTTATTTGTTATCTCTAGTCGTCCTTAGAGACTACTTTGGTAAGTTTCATTTGTACCTTTTAAAACATTAAAAGATATTTGACTATTTTTGTTTCTGTCCAACACAGATGCTGAGTTCATCAAAACTACAGACTTCTTGTGGAAAGTATTACTGATAACTTTAATTTCCTGCATGCCATTGTATATCTTAAAATTCCTACGAAAAAAATTCTCGCCTCCTAGTTACACGAAGTTATCTTAAGTTCGAATACAATAATTTCACTTGGCAAAAGTAGTTCACACGATGAATTGGAAAGATCTGTTATGTATCGAAATGATACGATAAAATATTTGCAAACCAATTATCTTTGATTCCTGATTCGAGTCCTTTGCTCAGTATGAAATAGATAAACATCCATTTTGTAAATCTCCTCACTATTTTTCTAACTACGCTTCAAATAATCAATAAATACAAACTTTACACTAAACATCAAAGTGCAACTGTTAATGAAATTTTCGAATTTCCTGTACTGTATCAATATTATACTGAGCATTCCAACTGGACCAACCCGATGAATCGACGCAGGCTTATTTTTCTTCGAATTTTTGAGTAGAGATAAATTATTCCATTGCTCTATTAACGCGTAAAATTATTATACAACTGTCCTCTATTTATTCATTTTAGGTTATGTTTGAACTCATTGAATTTTTTGATAACTGTAAATAGAGACTCTTGAAACTGAGCTTTTTAATTGTGTTTTTTTAGTGTTTATTTATGAAAACAATATGCTTTTCTTCCATGAAATGTGTTCGAATAACATATAGCATTTAATTCAGTTTTGCGTAATATTTATCTTTTGTATTTGGTCGTCTGATTTACAGTATTTTTTATATTAAGTTTATAAACGGATGCTTCGAAAGCATATAATGCTTTATTTGACGTTTTCTTCGTGTATTTAATAAATATGTGAAAATATTTGAGGTTAAATCTTTATTTTTATAAATTAAGTTCCGAGAGATCTATTTGCTAACGTTTTCCTTTGACGATATATTTGTTTTATATTGTAAGTATAAGCATTATTTTCAAATATATTGTTATTCACTGCAATTTACTTCCTGTGAATACACAACACTATAATAAAAGGAAACTGATTTTTATATTCGTGCGTAAATTATAAGCATGTAGAGATAGTTGTAATTGTTATTACTTATAATGTTGAAATGTACTGTACTATAGATGACATAGTTATTTCTAGGTAAATATTATTTGACTTGACACATTTGTAATTAATTTATGCGCAAATAAAATAATATATTCCTTTGTCTGATTCATTTTTTACTTCGTTTCTTTGTTTCGAAAATAACAGCAAACACTGGTTTCTGTCTTAAGGTTATTTAATATAATTTATCTAATCGTAACATGTAATTTCTCGGTAGCGTGTTTGCATATTAGTTGGTGAATATTATTTACTTCTAGTTTTGATAATGTACGTTCCATATGTCTATACACTATAGTATAACAATGCGATAATTTGTTGTGTTTAGGGTGATGAAACACATCTTTCAGTATAATTTGTTCTATTCTGTCACCGCCAATATTCCTTACTAAATCGTAAAAATCATTAGACGAATAAGAAACACCTTCGGGTATCCAAAAACTTATGTCGTTTTTGCACTGAGGATATATACTGACAGGCTGTAAAGCATACATCTCATTAACTTACTTTCCAGACAATATTAATTTTATTTTTAATTCCTAGTATACTTCTTTACCTTGTATTCTATTGTTGCATTAGGATCTTCAACTTTAAACTGATTTAAGAAACCAGAATCTTGGCTCCAAAATAATCTGATATCAGGAATATTATATAAACACATAGCTAATCTTTCTAATCCCAGTCCAAATGCCCATCCAATACGATCTCCTGCACCTGAATTTTGTAGAATTTCCTGACGCATGATACCACATCCCAATACTTCAAGCCATTCATTTCTGTAGTAGACTTCTAATTCCCATGATGGATGGGTGAAAGGAAAATATTGTTGAACCCATCTAGTTTGGGTTTCTGGAATTAAAAGTTATACTTCTATGTTCAATTAAAATTCTTCTATTCAAATGTTTTGTGTCTACTTTGTTACCTGAGCCAAAAAGTGCCTGTGCTAATCCTATTAAAGAATTTTTCAATTCATGTTCCATTATTTTTACAGACTCTAAAGTATGACAACCTTGTTTGTCATTGCTCTCTACACCTCTGTGTTCAAACAGCCTCAATTCTTCAGAGCTATTGGTATTTTGAAATACTTCATCTACTGTACACATTCTGACAGCATCTACTTGATGGAAAACAGGATAATGCATGGAATCCACTTCATCTCTGCGATACACATCTCCAATTACAAGAAAATTGTTCAATCCCATAGAAATTAGTTCCGATTGATGGGCAGTTGTATGAGCACGTAACAAAATATCTTGATTTATATAGTAACAATCATTTTTTTTTCTACTTGGATGATCAATTGGTACAAGAAGAGAGTCAAAATTTTGAGCAACAGTGACTATAGGAGATATATTATCATACACGCTAAATATTGGATTCCCAATTCGATTATGAAATTGATTGTAAAAATAATTAACAATACGTTGACGTATGTAAGATAAAGGATGGTATGGGGTAATGTGCAAGTTCCTTTCTAATTTGTTAAGGACATTTGGAGTGACGTTTGTCCACTGGTCTGTTGTATACTTGTTTCCTAATAATGTGATTTCATTGTATTTTTGAACTTCTGAGGCTATAGAGAAGGTTTTACACAGTGGTGATTTTACTATATTATGCCCAAAGGCTATATGAAGCCTGGACCTACAAAAAAATACAATAAGTATCACCATAAAAATCTAACTGGTTACGTTGTTACAACATAACACATCTAATGCAAATAACCTAACCATCTTGGTATTATCATCCACATATTTCAGAGTAATAAATACTGTTTATGATGAAGAAAATGTTTGTTTCTGGTATCTCGTACGGTTTAATCACCGTACGTTATCAACATCGTAAAAATGTAAACTGTAATTGTTCACCGATAAACTCAAATAAACTAACCCACGTGACTGTGGGAAAATTTCATTGATCTCCTGTCTCTTGTCATAGAGTTTTGTTCATTCGATTTTTCCTTTTTGTAAAGTTGCGTATCGTTTACAATCAAAACATTAATAATTAGGAATTTCAATTGAGTCTAGATCGAAAGTTAAAATTTATAGTTGTATGGTAGGTCTTTTCTGTTCACTATGAACACAGGATAGGAAATCTACACTCGTATTTACTCTATGATGTATTGTATTTGATTGTGTATCATTATTTCGAAACGATGGCTGTTGATCGGAATGTGATTCTCAGTCTTTATCGAAATCTAATTCGAGAAAGTAAAAAATGGAATGCATACAATTACAGGTAAGTTCGAACTGCTAATCTAAGGTATCATTTATTTATCATGACGTTTCTCCATTGAATAGATAACCTTAACTGAAAAATACCCAAGCTCCCGGTACATTTAACACACCATTCGCAATCATATTTAACCTGTATACTTTTATATTTATTACAGGATGTATGCTTTAAGAAAAATCCGCGACGAATTCCAAGAAAAAAAAGCACTTCGAGATCAGACGAAGATCGAGGAGCATTGCAAAAAAGGAAAGGAAATGCTCGAAGTAATTAAGAGACAAGTAATCATTGGAAACTTCTATGCCACCAAACCACTAGTTATCGAAAATACAAGATATAAACCTAATTTAAATTAAAAAGCAAATTAATTTAATATTAAGTGAGTGCTTGTAAAATGAACTGGGATGAGTGTATCATGTAGGAAATTTTCAATTTCCATGAATATGATTAGAGAAACTGAAGCTAAGATGTTGTAAGTTTCAAGATGATGATGAATCTGTAAAATGTTGTTATAATGAATAAAGTAGAATATTGATTACAGTAAATAGAGATCTAATGTATGTGTAATAATATTTCAGGACTATTCTTTTTAATAAAAGTATATTTAACAATGATGCGTCACATACTGAAATATATCCTTTTTAATTATAATTAGCTACTCTTTTATTAGTAATTGTTATAAATAATGTGAATACATTGTAATATCGTATATACAAATAGTTCAGTGGCGCCATCGGTTGCAAAAGGCCCAAGTTCATCGTGAAATAGTTTCTGTGTCTTGCCGCTAGATAACGCTAACGACATAATTTTTACCGACTTTATGTTTATTATATAATATTAAACAATGTCCTCGTAATTATGCTAGACGCATTGCAATATTAATATCCAATTGAAAAAATATGTTTAAACTCTAAATTTTTACAATAAATTCTAACGTCGATAAATTTTATATCCATGCGACATCTGGCGGTGGAGAATAGGAACTATTTTCACGACAATTTTCTCTATTTTCTATAGAGAAGCGCGCGTAAATTTGAATACTTTGAATGTAGCTATGTAGCCATTTCTTTTGATTGACAATTAGTTGTAATATGTAACGTAAGGATTTCAAATGTATACTGTATAGTACAGTTTCGTGGAGTCTAAGATTTGTTTATGGGGTTCAATCATCGCCAACCAATATAATTGGAAGTTATAATTGGAATTACCGTAAGTGGTTTAGTCATTCTTTCTAAGGAGAACGGATTTAATTTAGATTTAGGATGTTATTGTATCATAATCATTACGTTTTAATTTAATTTCTTGCAGAGTTTGACGGTCATCTGGTTACAATCCAACAAAACAACGCGCAACTAGCTATGTGTCGAAGCGTCGCCAAGACTGGTTCCAGCTTAAAAATGTTCATTTACTGGAATAGCCAGTTTGCAGCCTTGACTTAAGTCTCATAGAGTAGAGGTCAACAATCTGCACCTCGCGAGTCACATGCGGTTCTTGAACTCCGTCAAATATAAATCTATTATCAAATATAATTTCTATTAAATACAATATTTCACGATTATAAGCGTGGCTCTTTTGTTTACGTCCAAGATCTCGATGGCACCTATTATTGATCTTTGCAGAGCAACTAAATATTTATCATCCACGATCAAATAAATTTGTTGAAATATAGCAACTTTTCAGGACCTTTTTCATAGACCTTTTTCAGTAACATTTCACACGTATTTTCATCATTTTGTCCAACTTCTGTAGATAGCGAACAAGAGTTGAATTTTCTGAAGAACTGTCAACGTTTGCCTATAACACGAGCGTACACGAACGTGCTGGTTCCACTGCTATCAAGTCTAGCGAACCTGATCCCGCTGTCCTCGCTTATCTTCAGGTAATCGAGGACGCGGTTCTCGCTCTGCTGGAGTTCAAACCCGCTGAAGATCAGGGTCAGCTTGTTACCGTGCGAGTTTTTCAGGATGCAAATTGCTCCATACGTTCAGCGGATAAGAGTTCAGATTGGCGAGACGAGACGATTCGTGCCTGATAAGAAGCATAGATACGCATGCAGTACGATCGAGAATCCGATGGTAGTTGAGGAAGGACAGCAATTGTATCAGAACAACTTCTGGAACTGATGATGCAGACTGCAACATCTGCGAAGCCATGAATACTTGAAATTAATTTTTTTTTTAAATTAAACCTTGTTGCTTACTTGGATCAGGTTGGAATCTACGGCAACGTCGTCTTAGGCAACGCGGCTATCATTTTCTACTAGCCTGCAGTATGCAGATGTTTATTCAAGGGCAACGTGCAAGGACAAGGGTCATCGGTCTTAAGGACTTGGAGGGGATCGATCCTCCCACGCAGGAGCAACTGGAGGTTTTCTTTTTAAATCGATTTTCCATCGAAATCTATTGGAAATATAGACGGTGGAATGAATGAGCTAGCCTTTTGTTTAAGTTGACTTTAAAAAACTTTATTAGAAACACGCGGAAGGGCACGTCTGTTCTGTTCGAAAGAAGCAGCTCGAATGAAAGTGAGGCCATGAACGAGGAATTTCGTCACGTAACCAAACTCAAAATTGAACAATTTTTCTTTGTAAATAAATAGTAAGTTTACTTTAGAAAGGCACAAAATTAATTTCTATCCCTAATCATCATGATAATAGAACTCTGTATCTACATGTGCTCTCTCGGAACGTTCGACTGAGGAAAAACTAAAAGTCGAACAATGTTTCTTTATAAATAAATAGTAAGTTTACTATAGAAAGGCAAAAAATTAATTTCTATCCCTAACACGTAAACGATAATCTCTCTCATTGCATTGACAAATGGCTGGGCAAGAGAGCTTCTATAGTTATTGGTACCAGCTTTCCGCTTTATATGTAGGCGCGATAAATTCAGCGAGAAGCGCGAAACATTTTACTCGTCAGGTTTATTAAATTTGCTCGTTTTGGTTTGATCTGTCGTTTCAGTAAACACGGCATACACGTATGACAAGTACTGCGCGTGCGTCGAGCATTGCCCTCGAGGATTCATGGTGTTTTCTTAAGTATAAGTACCAGCGGTACGCGGCTCCCGCTGTTAGTTTCCAACAGTTTTGCGCGGGGAACTTAACTTTCCATCGCGTCGATACGTTCCTCGTATCCCACCAACAGTAAGCTCAATTTACAAAAAATATAGTATCACGTCTATCGCTACATTATAGTTTGTCGAATTTCGTTTTTGTTCTAGGACAGCGACAGAAGTCGAAGATGTTGTCCGAGTGTTTGGCGTTGGTTGCCTTGTTGACATACGTGTCTGCCGAAGGTTTGCGCTTTAAACTGCCTTTTTTACGGTTGTTTGTACCTCGAGTTCCGTCATAATTTCAGCTTTCGTGCCAAATAATATAATAGTTGTCGAATTTACAATTAGCTCCACTGTAAGTAGACTGGGAATGAAGAAATCTACGAGAGTGTGGACAAAATGCAACAATGAGTAATTTAGATAACAGACTGAAAATATTTAATGCAGGTCCTGCGAGTCCTCCGATAGCTGGTAAAGAGGCGTTAGAGAGTGCGTACGGACCCTTACATCCTCCAAATTGTGGCGCGAGCAAGATCCTCGACCTACTTGGGATAGTTAATGGCGAACCAGCCAAGCTGGGTAAGTACTGCTGTGCTAGAATGAACTAGAGAGAAGGTGAAATATAGTATAACAGAATAGAAGGAAAAGTAGTATAATAGAACATTCGTCCTCAATCAGTCGCGTTCTCACTCAGCCAAGCTTTACAGAAAGCTCTGTCTCTCCGGACGCGCGCTTACACATGGAGGAGGAACACACACATATTCACTCACATATATTCATTCGCACAATACAAATGTACCCACATTTACACAATACGAAGTTTGACAAATAATATCTTGGAAAATTGTATTGGAAATTTAGGCGCCTGGCCGTGGATCGCCGCGTTGGGTTATCGCAACGCCTCGAATCCTCTGAAACCGAAATTCCTGTGCGGTGGTACCCTGATATCGCGAAGGCACATCCTGACAGCCGCGCACTGCGTCACGGACCCGGACCTGTACATGGTTCGCATCGGAGACTTGGATTTGGAGAGCGACCAGGACGGGGCCTTCCCTGTCGAGTTGGAGATCGAACAGAAGATCGTGCATCCCGAGTACGACAGTAAGAGACAATCGAACGACATCGCCGTCCTGAAGCTGATGAAAGATGTAATTCTCACGGGTGAGTGTTCGTTTCGAAGCATCGATTCCTTGTTTAATATTGGATTGTCCGGAAAGTCCGCGGCGATTTTTGGTAGGTGGTCCGGGTCTGAATATATCGAGGTGGTTGAAAACGAATAACACGCATACATCTCTTAAAAGGTGGAAAGGTTGTCGAACAAAATGGCACCTATGTAATTCAATAAATATATATTAAAATTCAAACGTGTTTTTGAATGTTTCTTAAAAATCGGCACGAATATTCTGGACAACCTAATACAAAGCCTCAAACATCTTGATTTTCAATTTTCTCTCCGCTGGAACGTCATTATTTCTGTGATTTCCAGACTACATTCAGCCCATCTGTCTCCCAGTGGACGACCCTCTCAGACGCGACGACTTCTACGCGAAAAATGCTTACCTTGCTGGCTGGGGAGCCACCTCGTTCCGTAAGCGCCCTCGTTACACCGAATAATTAATCGTTTCCTCCTAAAATGTCTCGTTTATTATTTTCTTGTGTCTCTGTAGACGGACCAGCGAGCAGCATTCTCCTGCAAACGCAGGTACCCGTGGTCAGTATCGCCGATTGCAAGTCAGCCTACTCCGGAGACCCGAATCGATTGATCAACAACCGCACGATATGCGCTGGGCTCCAGCTGGGAGGAAAAGACGCTTGCGACGTAAGCCTACTGCCATCCTGCTCGAACAGTCTTTAATTCCTTTAAATGAAATCTACAAATTTTTAAACGTATTTTCCAGGGTGACAGAGGAGGTCCTTTGATGTTAGTCCATGACAAATCCGTCTACCTGATCGGTGTCGATTCCTTCGGCTACAAATGCGCCGAACCTGGATTCCCAACTGTCTACTCGAGAGTCACCGAGTACCTTGACTTCATTCTTCCTCTAATGGGTTAACGCAGGAGGCTCGTCGACAGAGATCGCGCGAAACACGAGAAGTTCGCTTCCGTCGCTTTGGATCCCCGCGAAACGATTCCGATACCCTAACGCATTTTATGTCGCGGAATGTATCGTTAATAGGTCCGCGATGTTGATTTACACAAGCATTGTATAATTGCTCTTACATAAAGAATGCCTACACAAAGAACAACTTCCTTGTATTTCCCAACTGCTACAATAATAATAATAATAAGTAGGGCTATCGGTGGAGTATAGTGCAACTACGCTGGCATATTGCTACGTTTTAAGTAGTATTGAGTCGTCTGGAAGGTCCGTGTCGATTTTCGATAGGTGGTACACGTCTGTTTATATTGGAATGGTTGAAAACAAGTAACATGGGTGCATCCTTTAAAAGGTGGAAAGGTCGCGGAACAAGATGGTATTTATATAATTCAATAAATATATATCAAAATTCAAATATATCAATAGCGTGGTTCAGTACTTGGCGCTTTATAAATTAAGCTTCAGTTTATACAATACAGTGAAAGCACAATTGTGGAATAAATCTGGTGATTTTCAATGTTTAAGAAATATTTGCCAAAAACTTACTTTCTTTTACTTCTCTTCTCTCCACGCCACTCCAAGCAATGAACTTTTCATAAATTTTAAGTACTGTCAGTGTAAAAGAACGAAATAAAGATAATGTCCTGTATTTGCCGTTATAATTTCCTGAAAGTCCACGCTTGGAAAGGGTCACGATATAAACATTCGATTCGCCTAATAATAGTATAGTTCGTAATAGTTCGCATCCACTGTACGACGAGTTGATAATGTAGAACAGTTGATCGGTAGTAGAGATTGTCCGACTGGCAACGTAGGTCGCTCCGGTGGTAAGTTCTTCGATTACGTTTGGGTTCTACATAGCCAACAGAGTACCGTGCAACAGTTGCCGACGTAGCAAAGAACTTTTGCAATACAACAGGCATCCTCTGTTGACACTCTACCCTCAAATATTTTCCGTACTTCATTCGATGTTTTTTAGGATGTGATTCATAGTTAAAGGAAAGTGGCAGTAAACAGCTGATTAGTCAATTATTGGGGTATCGTGGGTCACAGGTTTATCACGCGATAACAATTAATTAACAAGTAACAAGGAATTGTTGCTGTCGAGAGCTCTCAAAATAAAAGTATATATTTTTAGACCAAGAGATCGCACGTTTTCTTTCGATCGAATGAAATGTATAGCTATCTTCTTAACCTCTTCCGGTAACCCTCGTCTGTTTTGTCGCAAATGCATTAAGATCGCAAGAAGGAAAAATGATGAACAAATATGCGACTTGTAATTCTTAAAAAAAATACACAGATACACTATCTGAAACTGAAGTGGATTGAAAACGATACAGGGAGTACTACGGGGTTAAGTTAGTATCGAGAGGTGGATGTCGTGATACCCTTGCTTGTGATATGTCGATAAACATTTTTTTTTTTTGTTTGTTTTTGGTGGACTAACTGTTTATTGGAGGGCAAAGCTTTTTCATTCTTCGACTCGTTAATAGTACCAGCATCCGGTCGTATCACTTTTAACGAAAAAGAGTGTAGGACAAACGCGTTCGACAGAACGTATCGTAATCGAGTGTTTTCACGTCAAAGCGCTTTCCTTATTTTCGTTTACGGTATAGTCTTCGCGGATGTGATGTGACCGATAAATACGTTGTAACGATTGCTAAGTTTATCGGCAACAGCGACCCTCGCGCGTTATATTTCGGTACAATAATTCGAGAGAAGGTTGATTAGATTGTACTCATCCGGGTGATTTGTTTTCGTTATTTTTTGTGCAATCTGCTTGTTGAATGACACGCGGTATAAGTACCAGTGGAAGCGGGACGCTCGTCGTCAGTTTCGAAACGTGTTGCCTGCAAGTTACAAGTCTCCGATAGAAAAAAAAGTGAGTGAAATTTGTCGAGAAAGTAACTTTTCACGTGTTCACGAGTTCAGACTGTCTTGTTATTTGCTTTTCGCTTGAAAATCGAGTCCATTTTCAATTAGAATAAAAGTTTCATTTTGCTTCAGGAGATCAGCAAAATCCAAGATGGTGTCGAGATGTTTGGCATTGATTGCCCTGTTTTGTCCACTGATTCTGGTCACATCAGCTGAAGGTTTGCATTTTAAATCGTCATCCGTTCACCAGTATTCCAGTTTTTACGCTAATTTTAAATTCGTTAAGAATGCAATGCAAATCCGACGAGTAATACAACTTCTTTGATAGGTCTGTTGGAGCCGCCTGTGTGCGGAGTTAGTGTCGCCAGGGGAGTCTATGGCGACAGAATAATCGGTGGTATCGCCGCGAAGAAGGGTACGTACGGCTATTATACAGAATTTTTCATTAAATACTCTACAACTGGATACAACGAAATAAAATGAAATCAGCTTTGTAGGCCGAAGGAAAATACATACGATTTTTGTTACGTCTTAGATGCCTGGCCCTGGATAGGAGCATTAGGTTACAAGAACCCAGACGGTACCGCGACTCCAGTTTTCAAGTGTGGCGCTACCCTGATCACGAATAAACACGTTCTGACGTCCGCTTACTGTGCGTCTGGAATCGACAATTTGATCTTGGTTCGTTTTGGTACCTTAACTTTGGACGGTGAAAGACCGATCGACGTCAACATCGAAGAGAAACAGGTCCACAGTGAATACAACGAAAAGACGAAGGCCAATGACATCGCGGTCCTCACACTGAAGAAGGAAGTTATCTTCAGCGGTGAGTGTTGGAGTTTTCGAATTCGTAACGAACGAAAGAAGAATGGGGGATGAATAGGATATACTGTTGGAAAGGAGTTGCTTTGGGATGGTTCCAATTAATACGGAGAAAGGGAGAGGGGGTGTAGAAGATAAGGGTGGTTTCTCGGAAGAAGATACTCGATAATCGTTCGAGTCGACGCTCCGAGTTTACGATGTAACGAGTAACAACGTATTTTTATCGTAATTTTCAGACTCCCTTCGTCCCATCTGTCTCCCACACAAAGAACCTTTGGTAAACGATGTCTTCGACGGAAAATTCGCGTACATTGCTGGATGGGGTTCAACTTCATACCGTGAGTAGCAATCCTCATCTATCGTCCCGCGTAATTTATAATTATACAATGTCTCGTCAAATCCTCATTTCGGGCTGCGTTCTGTAGAAGGAGCACCGAGCAACTTCCTCAAGCAAAGCATGATCCCCGTCATCACCAACGAAAAGTGCAGAGAGAGCTACTCTGGATTCCCTTCGCTGGCCATCACTAACCACACGATTTGCGCTGGAAAGGTAGCTGGTGGAACCAACGCTTGCAACGTAAGAGAACCACGAATGTAACGTGAACGAACCTGCAACGACCGCGGTTGCAGACTTTCGAATTTCTGCCAAATTCTTTCGCGATTTAATTTTTACAATTGTTTCTTCGCAGGGTGACAACGGAGGACCTCTGATGATGCTCTTCGACGGTAACGTTTACGAGATCGGTCTTTACATCCACAGCTACAAGTGCGCCGAACGTGGATATCCTGGCATCTTCACCAGAATCACCGAGTATCTGGATTTCATCAAACAAGCAATCGAGACGTAAAGAGTATCGTTGGAGTAATAATGCTCGTGCGACGTGCGAGGCAGGCGTTCACATCCATCGTTTGGAATTTCTTTAACGAAACGAGTTTAATATTCGAGTGCATTTTGTACATTAGAAAATATAAATTTAAGATGTTGTTTTTTGAATAAATAACGCATGGAAAGATAACGTGGATTCTATGTCTGTCGATATTCCTATCCCTGCTTATTATAAGTATTCTAGGTAGTCCATAGGTTTTCTCGACAATTTACATTTAAGTAAACTTGCTTACAGAAATAATCCCAAGTTCTCGATGATTTGAAAGAAACTTTGAGTCGGTGTCTTAAAGAATGAAGTAGAAGAATGTAACTGTTTGTGTTCAGGAAACGTTCGAGGCGAGAAGTTCGCTAAGTTTGTAAGGAAAATTCCAATTGTTTCCGTTTAACAATGAATATAGTTACTCGGAAACGTATCTATCCATCGAATTGTACATGATACAATTAAAATATTTAATCGATCTGAAAGCTGGAATGGCTCTTTCCAATGACGTCACCTTGATCCAGACAAAGAATTGCTCATTGGTTACTAAAAAAAGTATGTTCATCCGTGGAAGTAGAAAAAGGACGCATACCCTGATATTGATAACAGTTCTTTTATAAAAAAAAATTTGACAAAAAAGAAGAAGCTTTCCATACTGTTCCATTTTTCCTTACACGTGAATGCTTGTCAATTTCAAGAACGACGTAATCGATCAATTTTAGTAAAAATAACTGAAATAATTTTCTTCGTAACCTGGGTACAACAAATTTACCCAAAATACAAGTTGAATTATCAAAAACAATACCGAATGAAACAGTTTAGCAATCTTCGTTGGATGAATTAAATATACAAAATTGAGGCCAGAGGAACTAACTAAATACAGTATATATTAGAGTGTACATTAATGAGAAGGAATTATTTATTGCCCTTTATTGTTTCATTCTCATAGATCAATACAGAAAAGTCGAGACAGCGGTCCTTAGAAGTGGTGGGGATGCCCATGGGAACCAGAGAGAATTATCGCGACACTTAAACGCCCCATACGCGATACGACAAAATCGCTGTCGTACGACAAATCGCTTCGACCAGTCTCTTTGATCGTTCGAATGAGAGTTGCATCGCGATGGAACGTTTCGCAATTCTTTTGTTCTCCGCCGAGCGTCCGGGTTCGAACGGCCGATCATCGGCTCATCAATTTTCCAAAAATCGAATTCTTTATTCTTCATGGTATCAACCTGAACGCGATGCTATTGGATTCTTGGTGTTCTCCCGATTAAAATGATACGTCACATCGCGCAAAAAGCGGACCATTTTTAACGAAGGTACTTTTCAATTATGCAATCAGATTCTTCATGTAATTTCGTTAATTATTGTCCAAATTACGTCCCAGTCGCGTGGTTTCATTTCCATCGTAAAAACATCAAGAATCGATTGAAATTGCTTCCGCAAAGTTCTGATAAAAATTGCAGAGGTTAGGCTTTATCGACCAGATTATGTGCGTATCTGTGTATTTTCAACAGACTTCGAAAAGGAAGAGGTTACTCAATTCGACATGTATATATATAAATATTTTTTTTTTTATACGTTCGAGAAGAATTTTATCGTATTACATTACCGTAAAAAAATATGGTAGTCCAACAAATGTTATTATCGTTCTCGCTCCGTTCGATTCAATAATACGTATCTCGCTCGATTCAATAATACGTATTGCAGATATCGACATTCCAAAGTATAAGTACCATTGATGCGGGGTTCTTACTTCCAGTTTTGAAAACCGTCGCCACGCGAAAACTAACTTTCCTTCGAATTAACACGAGCCCCGAAACCAACAAAAGTGAGTTAAATCCGTGAATAAAAGTAACGCGCACGAAAATACTGCTCGTCTCTACTTTTAGGAAAGCAACAAAGTACAACATGTTGCTCAAGTCTTTGGCGTTAATTGCCCTGCTGCATCCACTGGCGCACGTTGCATCTGCTCAAGGTTTGTCCTGTGAACCTAAGATCCCATTTCAATTTCGATGGCTTATCGCTTCACGATTTTTCAAGATCACTGGCAATTCGCTACTTCCATTCTACAACTAGAAATCTTTGACACTCTACAATTCTTTGACAGACGACGATAATGCGGATGATACCAAGTACATGCTTGCGAGACCTCCAGATTGTGGTTTTAAAAACGCCAGCTACGTTATGAACAGAGTGATAGGCGGCGTTCCAGCGAAGAAGGGTATGTATGGCAATTACATGTAGAGATCTTGGATTTAAGGGAGAAAGTCTACCTAGGGCTTACGAACTACCACGCCGTAACTTTGTTAATTTCAGATATTTTTAACAGAAAGTTTCCCGTTTCTCCGAAATAAATTCTCGAGTATGCATCTCCTTTGTACCTAGGTAGTCTTGAGACTTCGACGAGTATTATTTCTCGTATTCGTGGCTTGCCAACGTTTCTCAACCAAGGAAGCTTCGGCATCGGTGCTATCTAGATAATGATGGAGACTGGAACGTTTGCGAAAGTTCCCTTGGTTCGGAAAGGTCGACAAGAAATTGAAATCAGACGCGACGGAAGCCAGGAATACTACAACTACGCCGATCATTTTGAGAAACCAACGAGAATCGAACTCTGACACTGATAAATAACGCGTAAAATTGCTGAAATGTCATTAAATCCTGTATTTAATTCATAGATGGAACCATGAAATTGTCGCCCATTGAGATGACCGGTATCAACTAGATTAGAGATGTTTGGAAAAGGAATTAATCACCCAAATAATTCAGCATGCAAATGCTATCGCATATGTTGTATACGTATAGGTTTGTGTAGGTCGGGGACGAAATTTAAGCTCGACGTTTGTTACGACTCAGGTGACTGGCCCTGGGTTGGTGCGTTGGGCTATCGGAACACCAAAAACGCATCGATCACGGATTTCCGTTGCGGAGCTACTCTGATAACGCCTAAACACCTTCTGACAGCAGCTCGCTGTGCTCTGTCAGACGAGCTGTACGTAGTTCGTTTCAATGTCCTGAGTTTGACACAGGATGTTCCAGTCGATATTGGGATCGAGAACAAGTTCGTGCATCCCGAGTACAACGCGGAAAACGAGGTGCATGATATCGCCGTTCTTACAATGGTAAAGGAAGCTATGATTTCTGGTAAATATCCACCAAGGTCTCTGAAATTTCCAAACGAGTTAACAATGCTTGGATAATTACTTTAAACTGTGATTTCCAGAACGCTTGTACCCCGTTTGCCTGCCAATCGACATTCCTCAACTAACCGACAGTTACAATGGGAAAGTAGGCTACGTCGTTGGATGGGGAGCAATCTCAAACCGTGAGTGGCGATCTTTATTCATCCTGTTAATTAATAATCGTCATATGTTATTTCGTGGAACGTTTCTTTCCCTTTGAACTTCAGAATCACAAACGGGCAGCGACGTTCTCATGCAAACGAGGATCCCTGTGATCAGCAATAACCAATGCAAAGAAGATTATAAAGAATTCTCGCAATTAAGGATCGACAATTTCACGCTGTGCGCTGGATACAAGTCTGGAGGCCGAGATGCCGGTCTGGTGAGTTTGGATGAGTTATTAGTAGATCGCCGATCTTTATGCGTTTATAGGAAATTTCAATGTTCAAGAAACCACAAAGCGCACACAGTATATAATAATATTGGAAGTCGAATTCATATTATAATATTTTCAGAGTTAAACGAATTCTTATTTAGGTTCAATTTTTGTAGCCACGCTCGCAAAGATTTTATTTTGCACAAAGATCCGCAGTCTAGTTATTAGCAATCGTGATTGCAGTACTTTTATCGATTTGGGCCAGGACGATGTGTGAGACGTAAAATCATTCTTTTTTTTTGTAGTACGATGAAGGAGGACCTCTGATGATACAGCAGAGGGAAACTGTCTACCAGATCGGCATTGTTTCCTATCGCAAGAAATGCAAGGACGTCGAATGCCCCACTGTCTATAGCAGAGTCACCGAGTACATCGGATTCATCAATTCAAATTTGAATTTATAAAGGACTCGACGAAGATTGACACGTTGACGCAGTTTTTTCTACGGTGCATCAGTCTTTTAAAAAATAAAAGCATCTTAAAAAATGTTACGTAGATTCAAGTTCTTCCTTCCGTCAACTTCTCGGGCAATAGTCCCGTCACATGGTTGTAATATATAAATAATGTATAAATAAACGTTTCACAAAATAGCAATACAAAATAATTGTCTACGATGGAACTCATCGTATCCAAGCAGGGCCTGAATTCGCATTCAAATCCTATCCTTAAATTTTACAACGAGGAGTTATTTACTTACAAATGCCGTCACGTATTATGTACTTTTTATAAGATGAATATTAAATAATAATAATACCTCGATGATCTTTGCGACTCCTTTAAACTGAATCATCGCTACTAAAAAAATGTCTTGCATCCGTTAATGGTATCGTCATTCTGTAAAGAGTTAATCAAAATCGGTGCCTTTTAGTTGGGTAATTTACGCGCTGAATCCAACCATTAAAATTGCATATAAAGTATTTCCAAGTATGCCAAATCCAGTAGGCTTCTGCGAAGTGGAGCGTATTAGATCGAAACTCGTTAAAACGTATCTCAGGCCAGAGGTGGGCAATGTTTTATTTGAATAACTGGCGACAAAAAGAAATGTCTACTCAATCGACAAAAAGTTAATAAGATAAGCTTTTGTTTATTCGATTTCGCTTGTTATTTTATCCTAGAATTCTTCACAAGCAACTTATTGAATAATAATGTTTGTTCACTAGTCTTTAGATTTCTGCGTTTTTCGAATTAAAGTACGACCCGAGACTATTCAAAAAAACATAAATAAGGTTTACGATCCACTCGAGTCCTTCGCAACTTGTGGATCCCTAAACCATCCTTAGTAGATCCCGGCCAATCGGATCCTGGACCAATAGTTGATGGTTAAATCTATCAAGGGAATTGATTACGCGTAAACAAAAAATGACGTAACCCAAACACGTTTGTTCGTTCGATGTTTTTCAGGATATAAGCTACCGTCAAAAGAAAGTACCGGTAAACAGCAGAGAGGTCGGTACGACATCGCGGGTCGCAGGTTTATCGCGAGATAGCGGTGAAATAACACGGGAGAATATTTTGAAAATAAATATATACATCTATAAGCTTATTCATATATATATATATATATATATATATATATATATATATATAT